GAGCAATATGTCCTCGATAGCCGCAGGAGTAACAGATTGGTTGAGGTGGGCACTGAGGTGCGCAGTAAGGCTGTGCACGCACTGGCGGTGACAACGAAGCCACGGGTTTATGGTGTGCTGGTGTAGGCACAAAAACAGTGGGTGTGGCAGAGAGCGCGGCAACTTCGGCGTACGTGCGCGTCTGGCGCGCGCAGGGACCGTTGGAACACGTCGGACGCGATGCGGGCGCGATCTCTTGTTTAATCAGGCCTCGCAAGCTTTTTCAGAAGGGAGAGTAACTTCCGCAGTGCAGGAAGAGCAGCGCCCGTGAAGATCTTCACGAACGATGTAGAGAATAAGTGCACGCAAGTCGAGGGGTGCAGGCAAACGAATGTCGGTGGCATCATAGCAGAGGTGAAGAGACTGAAGCTCATCAAGTCCCTGACAGATGGTTATCACGTCCTGGGTGGTGGCAGGATTTTGCGTGGCGAGGGCGTTAAAGGCGACGGTGTTAATGCCTTTAATAATGTGGCATATTTGGTCGTTCTAAGACATGCCGGTGTTAACGCACTTGCATAGTGCAAAGACATCTTGAATATAAGAGGTGTAAGATTCATCCGGCAGCACGTGCATTCAGCGAAGTTCTTTGCTGCCTCGGTGCGAACTGTAGGAGCACCAAATAGTTGACGAAGTTGCAGCCCGAAAGTGTCCCAGTCGGGAAGATCCGGGTGGTGGTTCCAGAACCAAGTTTTCGCAACATCGGACAAGTAAAATAGGACGCTACGCAACTTCTGTAGATTGTCCCACCTGTTAAAATCGATGACAAGGTCGTAGTTCTTGATCCAGTCTTCGACATCATCGCCTCGGAGACCGGAAAACACACGTGAATCTCGCAGGCGAATGTTGTTGGGCGAAGCGGGTGGCAATGGCTGCAGTAGGACAGCGATGTTGGATGGGCTAGGGTTTTCTTGGGCCGCCATGGCTGGGGGTTGTATGCGACGACCCGAGCGGAGCTCCAGCGAGAACGGGCGAGAGGACTTGAGGGAACGAAAAGCACCTCCACCACTTGTGGGGAACCGGTTTATTCAGCCAGGCTTGAGCTAAATCACACTGGTGATGATATTTACCGATGATGAAGATGTATAGGTGATGATGGTATCTAAAGAGAATGAAGAGTCATTCACTTGGCGCGCTCACAATATGAACAACCACCTCTAGGGGCCAGCCAACCGGTTCCAAAACCGGAACCGAAACCCCGATACCACATCATCCCACCCTTTAAATGAAGAGCATACGGGGTCGTACCACTTAACAGGATGCAAAACAATCATAGAATGAAAATGTACAGCATGCACACTAAAACAAGAAGTAAAGCACCCTGACAATTGTACACGTAACACAGTGCATAATGTAATGCAGTGGACGTAGCACAACGAATTATGAAGAATTAAAACATGTACAACATGCAGATCAACAATACAACAGCAAGGCACATTGCCAAATCGCCACCACGTCATCCCCTTCCCTGAGAGAGGATGTCTGCATAGTCATTGTTGTGTTTGAGTCTACGGCGTCGACGCCTGTAGTGATGTCATTTCCACGACAGGCACTGTCGCCGACCAAAGCAGTCCAGTGGTACGTAAGAATTGGCCCATGTGCTGTCCTTCCAGTGTACTTCTGGCAGAGTAGGGGTACGAACAAGCATGCCATGAAGCTCCTGATGGGGCATGGCTTGGCGCCAAGAATGCAGGCACCTTGCAGAGAACCAAAACGGGCACGGCCGGCGCAGACGTGACCGGCGGAAGCACCTCCACCGTAAGGCAGAACAGTAACCGCCGTCTAGAATTCCAGCTGGCACGCTCGGTGGATGCATCTCCGGCGGACCGAGAACTGAAACAGCACCCGAAGACCACCGCCAGCCGAAGGAAGCAGCAGCAGGCAAGACAGGAGCAGCAGGCACAATGAAGGATGGACAGCTGATGCAGGTAAAGTATGGTCAGCATCAGCAGACCCGACTGAGACAGCCATCCTCACACCAGCACTCCCAGTCGAAACGTGTGTAGCCAGGGTATGCTCAACTGCAGGACACAAGGCCGGAGCAGGCGCCTCAGGAGCACGGCCAGCTGGGACGTTGACAGATGCAGCACAAGCGAGCACGCTCTCAGTGCGAGCAGGGATCGTCACTGCATGTGAAGATGAAGTATGGCCTGGTAGAATTTGCGAAATTTCCGCAGAACTCAGGGGGCCGATGGCACAGCAGGGTTGGTAGCATAACGTTGTAGCAGCATGGGTCGAGGAGGAGGAACGCTGCAGCATTGATGCTCGCGTTGCGTAATCCAGTCTGCCTGCACAGCAGCCAGCTGCTGCAACGTGCAGCCGACACTGCTCCTTTCCCTGGCATGTGTTAACCTTGCCTGGACTGGGAAAGTGTCTCCCATTTGAACGATGAACGAATGAGCTAAGCAGGTCGGGGTCACGCAGGCCAGTGCAAAATCTCGTCCTGTACCATTTTCTCTGCTGTGGTTCTGAAATTGCAGTTGTTCGCCAACCGCCGCAGCGCTAGAATGAATTAAATGGGAGTCTCGTCCGCTTCTTGACCTCTTCGCTGGAATCGAGCCCGTACGCAGAAAGCGTCTTCAGGCGGCGCGAAGTATGCGTCCAGAACAGCCAAGGTCTGCTAGTGCGTGTCGCATGTTGCGCCATCTCCTGAAGCCTGGACGCCGTTGAGCAGCGTCTGCTCGTCAGCAGCCCTGTAGTAGGCTTGTAATCCATCCACTCCGAGCGCGTTGAGCAGCGACGCCTTTTTCGCGTCTGGCGTAGCGTACTGAGGCCGCCGCGTCAACGCACGCTTGCACGACGCGACGCCAAGTTTTCCACAGACGCCAAGTCTTCCAAGTCGGAGGCACACCAGGGCATTGCAGGAACAGAGGTTGTGGAATTGTGGGGAACATGCTGCTGCCGATACAGATCCGATGCTAAATAAATATAGAGCCGCCCCACGCGTAAAAGTCCGCAGTCCCGTCAATCTGCCGAAATATCCTTAGGTAGCATCATGAATGTGAGCCGCACAGCAGAAGAAAGTAGAACGAAGAATGGCTCACTATTCAGCAGGATAGATGCGAAGCAATGCAAGTATGGTCTCAGTGTGTCACAAGCAGGTAAGTTTTCAGGAAATACCGCATCGGTGGGGTAGCTTACACGGGTTCTGAGTCGACAGCACGAGGAAGAAGACTGGAAGCGCACCTTGACGCCTGATGCACGTGGATTTAAGAACCTCATCGCCAAAGTGTAGTATTGTGTGGCGGTACGCGCCGCACGGAGAGCACAGGGCACGGCGCCGGAGCGCCGGCCGACAAGAAGTACGCAGCAGCCAGTACACAAGCAGGAACTCCTTTTATGTATGTACACAAGCATGCTAATATATAGATATGTACAACCCCTAGGGGCTAGCCAAGTGGTTTTAAAACCGGAACCGAAACCCCGATATCCACACATACCATTTGTCATGATAAGGAAATAGTGACCAGAGAGAAAGCAGTGTTGAAACAGCGCGTGAAACAGCGCGTGAACCAGCGCGAAAAATTTACCCTGATGCTTCACAGTGTGTAAGAAGGATTTGCATGCTTGAGAGTTCGTTTTTCAGCAGTCGAGTTGTGCACATCAAGATAGATCACTAATGCGGTAAATCGTATTATTTTGTGTTTGTTTTCATGCTTATTGAGCATAGAAAGGTCACATATGTATACACAGCACAGGTAGGTGACTCACATGTCTGTGTTTACAATTTTTGCACAAATTTTTAGTACTTGCACTAGAATAACTTTTCAAAATAATCTACATTCGTCTCCTTTTGGAATATGCCTGCGTGGTCTGGGACCCATGCACAAAGAAAAATAGTAATACACTAGAAAACCTACAAATAAAATTTGCTCGATTTATTTTTCGCTCGTACAATCACTTTACGTCAGTCAGTGATTAGCTTCAGACAACCAACTTGGAAGCCTTACATCTGCAGCGATATCACGAAAGATTAAAATATACGTACCGCTCTATCACGATAAGCTTGGCATTGATTCGAGTGCGTATATTGAAGAAGTCATGTGATGACCCACGCAGGCAGATCATTAAAAAAAATTACTGGAATTTTCTTGGAGAACCAACACGTACATGGGCTCTTTTTTCCCACGAACTGTATCCGAGTGGAGTCGCTTCCTTGGTGGGGTTGTGCAGGCAATGACAGTGACATCATTCTTAGCAAAGCTATAGAACTTATGACACGTCTACCTGCCATATTTTTACTCTTTGTTTTGTGACGTCACAATTCTTTTTTGCTTGCTTTCATGCGTTGTTAGTACACATGTGAGGTTAGTATGCATTTATGTAGGTATTAAGCTGTGAGCAATTACATGCCATGCACTGTATATTTTTCTTTTTCTACTGCTTTTGAAACTGTGTTTGCGGCATTTTCTGTGCGAATATACTGTGAAAATGCTCAGTGTGCCATATTTATACGCTACCCACTCCTGCTTATGGCTTCATTTTAAAGCCCTGTAAGTGAATAAAATAAAATAAAAATAAAAATATATATTTTAGCGGTTCCTTGAGACTCGTTGTATCAAGAACTGTAGTTTGAGTAGAAAGGAGGAGGTACCACAGTCAAGCGGTATTGCTAGACAATGACAATTTTCTAATGTCGAAAGCCATTTACAGCAAGCCACAGTCCCCTGGAATAAATTCCTAGGCACACTGAGACTGAGCAAAATGTGAGACTAACACAGCAATGACGGAAACCAATGAACACTAGAAAGAGTTCATTTTGGTTAAACTATGCGGAGGAGCAAGACACAAAAAAGAAGCGAGAAAAACAAGCGCAGACTAACAGCTGGTTTTATTTGTCTTGTTTGTATCGCTTCCCTCTCCGTGTCTCGTCCCACCAAGCAGTTTGACCAAAATGAACTCTTACCAGCTAGCCCAACTTTCCATGCTGCTTACTGCAAAGTGTAGTTGGCACCAACACTCACCTCTTCAGCACTTGTGTTCACTTCAAAGACGTGGCACCTGTACGTGGGCGGGCCTTCGCCAGGGTTAATTGTGATGAAGCCCAACAACCTGCAAAAATCCATGAAGTGTAAATGAATTCCAGTCCCCGTTTTGTGACTGACTTTTATGACTGACGGGCAGAACAAACAAGGGAAATCTCAGCATCAGGCTAATGTTGTAATGTCAATAGGCTTGTGCAAATATGCAGGCAATTCAGATACTCAAAACCGACAGTACAGTATGTACTTGAATTCGCCTCGAAACAAATTTAAATTACGAAAAATTTCGAATGATTAAGTGTACGTTAGTTCGCATGTAAACACCCTGTAAAGGTGGTTACATGCAAAGGTGTTTACATGTAAAGATGGTTACATGTAAAGGTGGTTAAAGGTTTCGCTGCAATCTACAAGTGCTACACCGCGAATACACCTACACAGAAAAAATCCGCACTGCCATGAAGCATCACTTCGAGAATAAATGAACATACCATTACCCTCACATTTATTGATCATTTTCTAAGTTTAAAAGCTTGTTATACTAGCTTAAACGCTCCAAAGACAAAAAATTTTAAAATGTAACGTATTTCACAGGTCACCACTTGTATTCTACTGAAAGCCAAATCATCCTACTATACAAAGTTGCATCCGGTTCCTTTGAACTAAAAAGAATCCCATTTGCACATACCTTGTTTCAATTAAAAAAATCATATTGTGGAGGTTAGCTGGGCCACAACAAATACCCTAATTACTCGACTTTAACGCGCACCTTTTTTCCGGTTAAGCGAGTTCATAAATCGCATGCGCGTTAGAATCAACTTTAAAAAAAAAAATGAATACGGTCATTCTATTGCCATCGGCATTTCCAAAATAACCGCCCCCTATGTGCGCCGGCATGCCGCGTCGGCCATTTCTGCCTATTTGTTTCTCATGTGCGGCACTGTTTGGGACGTTAAACTCCACAAATCAATCAATCATATGCGGCACTTCGTACGTGTGCTGAGGAGTTCGTCATCTGGCAGTGCATTAGCATTGACGGCATGAAAGGGCCGACTCCAAAAACTCGACGAGTGCACCACAATGCCGCTTTTAAAAGAAAAGTCATCGCGTGTGCCGAAATGGACAGATATCGGGCCACATCGCGGTCGTTCGGAGTTCCCGAAATGTGCGTGCTGGACTGGCGGAAACAAAAGAAAATTTTGTCGACAGAAAAGATTCACACAAAGGCTTCAGTAGACCACAGCAGGGTCGGTTTCTGCAAATTGAAGAGCTGCTCGGCGAGTATGAGATTGAGCAGTGAGCGGCACAGTGGCCCGTGACGACAGAACTGGTCCAAGTGCAGGCTATGCAGTTAGCCTTAGAAAAAGGGCTAATGCCAAGCCAGTTTAAAGTGAGCAGGTGCTGGCTAACTAACTTTATGAAGAGAAAATGCTTTTCCCTTGGAAGGCGAATGGGCATATGCCAAAAGTTGCCGGAGGAGTACGAAGAAAAGCTTCACAGTTTTCAGAGGTTCGTCCTAAAGTTGCGGCACAACAGCGGCTACCTGCTTGGGCAAATCGGGAATGCCGATCAGACGCTTCTTTACTTCGACATGCCTGGCACCACAACTGGCGAAAAGAAGGGGGCGAAGCAAGTTCGCGTGCTGACATTAGACCACGGTAAAACTAGAGTGACGGCAATGCTCCGTTGCACTTCAAATAGGCACAAGCTTCCCCCGTACCTCATATTTAAACGGAAGACGCTCCTGAAAGGAGTCGTTTTCCCGAGTGGTGTGGTCGTGCAAGCCAACGAGAAAAATGGATGCGCGTTACAATCGATGTCTTACTTTTTTTTTTTTCGTCGTGGAAACCGGGTGCGCGTTACAATTGAGGGCGCAGTAGAATCGAGTAAATGCGGTATGCTTATTTTTTTTAATATGTGATATATACTATTCAAATTCAATTCCATATTATTTAAAGAAAACACTATTCGCTACGAATTCACTTTGAGCCTAAAATTTACTATTTGCACAAGCATAGCTTCCTCACAACAGCTTCATGCAATTTAGTAGCTCCTCACAACAGAAATAACTTGATTTAACCAGCTGCCAGCTTGTAAAAAGATCATGTGCTACATGACACCAGCGGGCAGAAAAATAGAGTTCCGTACTCGCCGTCATGGCTACTAGCGTTGCTGACTAGCACTCCCACTTTAAATGCATTTGTACATCCCGTAAAGCAGATGGGGGATGACAGCCGCTATTGCTCCGCTAATAAGCATTCGATGCGTTATCTTTTCGTGCACTTCACTTTATTCATACTTCATCATAAATTGCTACGTACAAACTTCCCTATACTTTCCTTGACTTTCTTGTCTGCTATTTTTAATAATTGTTGCGCCTAACAAAAAAAAATATACGAGCCCTTAAAACTTCTTTCTTTCATTGAGTTAACCTGGTATGACGCAATCAGGCACGATCGTAATATGCAACCTTTCTTGAATGACACAAGGCACTCACCGGTTGTTCTCCTTGTGAACTGTCCAAAAGGACACGTCAGCCAATGGGAAGCAGGCACGCACAGCCTGATGTGAAGGGTCCAAAATCCTGCACAGTGCAAAATACAAAAAAAAATACCTCATAAGAACACACAACACACGACAACTCTCAACTATTTTGTTACTATGCCCACACCGATTAACCATTAATCAGAGAGGGTGATAACTCTTCATTTTTTTTAATCTCTCCCAGAGAAAATGCCTAATCGTAGATATGTAGGCACTTTCTTCCTGATGCACTTCTAGACAAAACATACGTGCTGCAGCGAACTTGGCGCAGTGAAGGCTGACAAGCAACCGACTTCCACGTAGATCACAGTAGATTTTTAAGCCATTTAATTGTACCACATTTTCACTACTTAGAACATTTTATTCGTGACAAACCCTGTCACACTCTTTCACTACTAGGAACATATTAAAGGAAGGCTTTCAGGCCCGGTGAGCGAGGAAAACATTTTTTTGAACTGAAATTAATTGTTACAGTAATAAACAAAAGCTTTAGCTTAGACTAATAGAATTTAAACACAGCTAGAGGAAAACTGAACGGTGTGCACTGTTTCTATATTCCCGTGAACAATGTGAATGAATGAACAGGAATACACAGAGAGGCTTTTTCTTTTCTGACACATAAATTCAACAGGAGATGAAGCTGAAAAAGTGTACAGTGTGATTCTTATGATGTAACCAATGTACAGCATTCAGAGATGACAAAATTCTACCAGACAAGTTTCCGCCAGTGGGGTTTAATCCCATAATTTTTGCATCATGTGCAAAATACCCTGCCGCCTGCGTTGCAACAGCTGCCGTTCCCCCGTACACTTTCTTGAGCCCCCCCCTTTTTTTTTTCATCAGTGCGGCCACACATCTGTTTTGCATCATAGGCAATGCATATCCACAGCCATAACTCACGCAAAGTGCTCGACTAGCCTTGACGAAACCTGGTCATGCTGTTCCGCGACCGATGGTGGTGACTGACCTGAGTTCCTTCTGGCTGACCACCATGTGTGACTCGGCCATCTTGAAGACATTGTGTGCCATGCGGGCAGCCAGGATCAGGCGCATGGTCTCGCAGACCAGCTGGTCTCCTGCGAGAAGTTGGCACCATCCTAATACATCAGCTGCCGCGTCAATCAAAGTTGGACGCAGTTAAAAGAAACTGTGCTGGACTGCACGGCAAGACATATCTTACGATTCTTTGCTTTCTTCCAAAATTAAATGGCTCATACTAAACTATCAAACAGGAAAATCACACAAAAACGAGGTGAGTGTCTGGCACACTACAAGTAGTCCCGATGGATAAAAAGAATCTCGCATGTTTATGTGCCGTAACCGCAATGTGATTACGAGTCAAGCTGTTGTGGGGAGTTCCAGATCAGTTTTGATCAACCATGAACATTCGCTGCCCCTAACTAAAAGAGCAAAGCCAGTTTTGCACCTCACCCCCCGTCGAAATGAGGCTGCCATAGCTAAGATAGCTAAGAGGCGAACTCGTGTTGTCATCAGTAGCCTGTATCATGAAGAGGCTAGTGGTACTTGGCTATGTATGCCATTGTAGTGACAGAATTATTTGCAAATGTGCCATGCCTGTATGGAGAAAGTAAGTCTCAGATACCAGACATACAATGAGAAGGAAGAGTGTGGGAAGTGAACCTCTTGCAACTCTCTAAGAGAGCCGTGCACCCACTGTGAGAAATGCAGCGCACCTGAGCTCGGCCACAGTTCTCCAAGTCATAGTTCCGAGACCACCAACCTTGGCAGTGGGCTAACTTCCTTCCACTGTAGGTGGGCAATACTGCGGCCCAGTAAGTACTCCTAGCTTTCATAACACATAGCTCAGTACGATCTTTGTGTGCTAGTTGATCTCGCGTGTATGTATCACTGCAGCACATAAAATCTTGACATAAATATGATAACACATGTCTGTATGGTAACAGCACCTTTTTTTTAGTGTGTACCCAACAAGTCCGTGTGCAGAAGCTCTTGTGCGCTGATCACATAGACACAGCTGAGGCCGTGGAGCACAGCAGTGTTTTTGGCAGCCATAGAGAGGGTGCCCCAGCCCACTCACCTCTGTCACAGGGCACTTGCATGGAGCCGAGGAATCGCACGGTGAAGGCCTCCCAGAAGGAGCACGACGCATCCTTGGCAGACTCCATTGTGATAGAGGAACCGCACTGGTCAAAAGGGTTGATGCGTCTGCACCACAAAAACAAAAGGGGCAAGAAAGAACGAGCTTGGGAGTGTGTCAGCAATGCAATTGCACTAAGATGAAATGACTGCAAGTATAACTAGCTTGATAAGTTATGATGTTTTCAATCCCAAAGCCTCATGGTGGGCTATGAGGGCCACATTTATGGAATGTTTTTAACTAATCTTGGCTTAGCTGGTGCCCTTGCTTGGTATGCTCTTAAGGCACAGCACCAGCTTTTGCTGCAACATGCCTTAGTACCATATCTACTCGCGTAATCCTTGCACTGACATAATTCTCGCACCCCCAACTTCGCCCAACAAAAATAACGATCCCTGAAAATGGCAGCTGCAATGTTGTTTGCACCTTCCAACTACTGATGATAACGCACGTCAGCAGGGAGCCATTTATTCAGCACTATGTGCACTTTCAACGCACAAAGCCCTAATCCAAGCCAAGCCAAAGTGGCAAGGGTGCGTTGCGACGTGTTGTGTCTGTTCCATGGTTACACTATGAGGCGATATGGAAGCTACACAGAAAACAGGGCCAGCAGTAGGCACTTTGAAGTCGACGAGCTTTGTGCTCCCTACTGGCGACAGCAGCACGGGCAGTTCAAAGCCACCAAGATGTGCTGGGCCTTGCATGTGCACTAGGAAGGATGATAAAACTTTATTTCGTCCGAGGGTAACGTGGACAATTCCATGTCAGATAGTCATCAGCCCAAGGTTGACTTCTTTTGCTAACCTTGTGTGGGCTCTGTTGAGTGACCAACGCTACCACTATGCCCGCAAGTTTTGCGTACGGTATTTCAAAACTCTAGTTTTTGCTTGTAGCTTTTTCGTCTCAAATAAATCTTGTCTTGTGTTGAACCTGTGGTGCTAATGTTCAGGTAAGTCTTGATTAGTACTTTGCAAAGTTTGTAGTTAGTTTTCACTTTCACTTTATTTTCTTAAAGTCCCCACGTAGGGGCATTAGATAAGGGGTGGAGTACAAGAAGAATTCATAACATTAGACTGATCAGGATGAGAAATGATCTTTACAGCTTCAATAAATTCTTTTCAGCTTTTACAGCTTCAATGAATGCTTCAACGAATGCAATGAACGCTAGTTTGTTGCTAGCGTCAGAATCCCAATTTGCCGCCACTTCGTTTTTTTTTTTTTTCATTTTCGTTTCTTCTCGCTTTGTACTCTTTCATCAAAAATTTTCCTCACGTAATTTCCACACTCCCCAACTTTTTATCGGTTTTCTGTGAAAAAAAAAAGTGTGAGAATTATGTGAGTGAATATGGTATATAAGTCACCGCCAACATTCTTTTATGCACACCCAAATTAACTGCATTAGTGCCTTTGTATTCTGTGCCATCAAGATAAATAATAACGCCCGGCTTAAGCGAGACTTGCAGCGCAGTCAAAACGAAAGCTGGTAGGGTCGTCTCTCTTGAGCCCTTTTTAAACACTCTTAAGGGGAGATGCTACTCGAAGACACTATTTTCTTTATTACTCACCATAGAGGAATAAACTTGAGCTGTTCATGGAACTTTTTTATGCTGATTTCAAATATATAATTAGTTTTCTTGCAACTTACACACTTTTAGCTGTGCAACATGACAAAGTGAGAACCTTAACCCTTTTGCCCCCCTCTTTTCATCCCTAAACTTCTGTAAGTTTCGACAATTCATAGTTCATAAGGCTTCAAAAGAAGTGTAGAGTGCAAATAACTAATTAGGAAGCACATACACAATATGTAATACGCGTGAAAAATAATAGACGTAAAATGTCCGTATTTCTCCTACCCTAGTAAAGGTATACATACAATTTTTTATTATACAATAAAATATTTAAATTTAAACTAGATAATTGCATTTGTCATACTTTGAAAAATTTGGGCAAACTTTCATGGAGATCCGAGCACTAGAAGTGCCCGAAAAAGGAGGTGCACATTGGAAAAAACTGCAAAATTTGTGTTTTGAGAAAAACGAGTTTTAAAGATAAAATTGAGTTTTTATTTATGAAAGATATCATTAAATCAGATGAATTTTGCACACCAAAAAGAACAACCCTTCTTGTTGCGGCCACTGCGACTAAAATACGCCAGCACCATGAGTGTGTCCCTCGCAGCTTTTTCGAGCAGACTCCTCACAGACATTTCGCTCACAGACAGGGCCATGAAACGCTTGCCAAACTTCTGCTCCATCTCGCAGAGCTTTGAGTCAATCGAAAGCCAGGAAGAAGTTCAACAGGACTGCGAAATCCAAACTAAGTCCAGTGTCATGCCATTTTGCAGCCATGTTTGTTCCGCATACCATCGTACATAATGGCAGTGTCGTTCCTGCTAAGTTCTCTCACTGCGAGCCGAGCTCTTTCGACCTTTCAAGATTGGCGCAGACTGTCATTCATTGCCGCATCACGAACTTTCCGGCTGAACAGGTGTGAATGACTTTCGATGCATTGGCTTTTTCAAGCCAACAACTGCCGCAAATCGGACCAGGTGCTCGTAGCCTATTCCTACAGAGCGCGCCGCACAAAGGCTTTCACTTGCGAGCAATGCCTTTTTTCATTCACCAAGAAGATAATTAAATGAGAAAAGCATTGTTCAGCTGCGATGCTTGACAAGACATGGACCCCGCAAATAGGTTTCACAGCACATACAGGGCGCAGTGGCCAATGGCGGTCCTCAATTCGTAACATGTGATAGGCCAGTCGTGGCGCTTGAAAAACGCACAGAAGAGTGCTTTTTTTTATAATTTCTTGCGCGGCATCAGGGAGAGAAATTGTTGTTATTTGAAGAGTGAGGCTCGACTCTTCGAATCATGCAATCAACAATGGCGAGTGGCGGCGCATTATCGGCGGCAAGGTGCTCGAAGACTGTACACTTTGGACCTTTTAACAGGCACCTTGTGCTCTTTAGATGCAATTTTAAAGCATTGCCAAGTAAACCTCGACCTGTATTATTTTTTCTATAACAGTAGAGGTACTAATCTTATCAAAACAGACGAAAAATGAAAAATCGGTAATTTTGAAAAAAAAAATCGCGTTTTTCGACTCGCATCTCCCCTTAAGGCAACTACTACAAGCACACTTGCACGGTACCAGCTACACCATAAACCATAATAATTTTCGTGTAATGAGGAAGCATCTACCATGCCCTTATTCATTATTCTTGGGAAAAGCATGGTACCCACTACCTATGATGGTGTCGTCAGATGTAATGGTTGCAGGGTAATAGGAGGACCGATCCCGGAGGCAGCCCATACGGCTGAACGTCGTTGAGCTAGTGTACGTTATCTGTACATTATTATTGTTATACAGTGCTATTTCTAGCTGTAGAGTAAAATTTAGAATAAAAAAAAGTTGTGTAGGGTAAAGTGGGGTCATTTTGACCTTGGTGTAGGGTATATTCCAAAAATTAGTTGGCAACAGTGCTGACACCTGGCTGTTACTTACCTGTCTTAAAAGTCTTTATTACGCATGTTAACATGATTGCTTACCCAACACGAAGCCTGCACAGGGTAAGTTTGCAACAAAGTTTCAAACACCGGCATAGCTCGGTGGTAGAATATTGAGCTGCCACACAGAAGGCAAAGGTGCGATTCCCATTCTGTCCTCAATACTTTTTGTTTATTTAGCTGTTTTAGGGGCGAAGTTCCTTATGACGTCACCCGTTTGTCTCTCGTTATCCTTTGTAACTTCTAGCGGCACATACCCGAAAGAGCGAGTAAGTGCCACAGGGGACAGACTTTAAGGTATGAAGTTTCTTAAGCCGTGGGTTGTGTGTCCTCGATGTATATAGTAGGTAGCTACCTCTTTAGTTTTTGGAATGTCCGCTAGATGACTGTACTTGTATATAATCAATATATGATGAAAAGATGCCAGATGGTTGTACTTGGAGTGTTCACTAGACTGATGAACATACAGACAGACAGACAGACAGACAGACAGACAGACAGACAGACAGACAGACAGACAGATGAACAGATGCACGGACGGACACATCGACCCATGGTTGAACAAACAAACGGACGGATGCTTCGCCCAACTCATCATTATTATGTTCGTAGATATACAGTGATTTTTAAAATCTCGCGCAATAGTGAGTACGGACACTGTCTGTGGTATACAACTACGATTTCAGAATCAGTTGCTTGGAATACGAGCGTGCAACACTCATATTGTCTACGTTAAACATTCGTATTTCAAGTAACCATGAATCATTAATTTGCCCAAGGAGTTGTTTTGGCCAGAGCCGGCCCTTGTTGTGATCTCATAACAGCTTTTGCTGTAAAAAAACAAACACTGCAACCACGATTTGATAACTGTGACTTAAAGGTTATTACAGCCACACCACAGCTGCCTAACTATCATCGCACATGAATTTCATTTTTCCTCAAGGGACAAATCTTCACAGTCGCAGTGTTCCTGCCCCAAATGACCGACATTAAATTGTTTCAATCAGCAGGAGGAATGCTTTTTTTTTTTTTACTGGCTATACGTACACAGCTGGTCCATCTTTTGGAGAGTGCCCAGATGAACCTTTGTCCTCTGATGGGGAGAACATGTCGAACTGGATGGGAGTGTTGGCCAGCTCTTTGAGGTCCTCTTTCGTGGCCGGCCTCGGCCGTGGCATTTTTCTGCAATGACAACAATACGATAGGCTTGTTCAAATATTACTTTCATGGCTCCAAGTACTAATTAGTACTAAATAATTAAACAATTTTTCAGTAAATTTGAAGATGAGCAGGATATGACATAGCTGGAAAAACATGTTATGTTTAGGCATGTGTGAATATTCGAGCGATTTGAATATCAGAATGAATATTACAGTATTCGAACTATTCTAAATGAACAAATGATCATATATTACACTGAGTAAATTCCCTCTGTAAAGGTTGTTTAACTGCATCTGAGAAGTGCATGCCAAGAAAACACATACCCAAAAGAAATTCTAACAGTCCCGAAGCCTCCCGTCAAGGTTAAAGGAACATATTACGCTCAGATCGAACAATTCTATTTAAAGTTTTTGTTACTATGGCTTATATGCTGGGTGTAATAAATTTTAAAGAGTAATGTATTTCACCGGTTATCACTAGCATCTTACTTGAAAAAGCACCGACCAAAAATATCCCACTTTTTTTTTTTTTTTTGCAATAGGTAGCTTATGACCCACTTATAATGGCTAGAAACCTCCTTTGAACAAGTATGTGACGGTTATTTTTTTATAGACATTTTTAGAGTGCCCAGCCATGGTTTCGGCTTTAAGGAGCACTCAGCCAGGCAGGAGCAGTTTCGATGGTTAGGTAAACACAGCTGGCAATATGACCATTGAAAGCTGTGACGTAAACAACACGCGTGACCAAGAGCTACACTGACCAGCCAACACAAACTCCCGACATAGGTTTGATTATGCGAAAACCGCATTGATGTCAGTGTTGTGAGGTGCTCCACATTTCACTCAGTTGCGTGGGATGCACTCTAAAATTGATATTAAATATGTTTTAGGCCATATTTGCCCTCGATACTTCGTAGATGTTGTGTATGTCTCCACATAAATCTATCTCATTCTCTCAGCCCTGAACATTTTGTGCCAGTCCTCTATCACATTCAGATATTGCTACTGTTTAATGTTTCTTCCCCTTTGCTTTAAACGAAAAAGAATGACATTCGAAGTTATCCCACTGAGAACTGCTGATTTAGAGCAATTTTCGGAGCAGTCTTTGGAGCAGTCAAATTTTAGTTTTGGAGCACTTTGGAGCAGTGAAACATTAGTTTCGGAGCACTTTTGGAGCAGTAAAAATTTAGTTTTGGGGCATTTTTGAACATGTAATCTTGCTATCAGAAGCATTATACAGAATTAAAATTTTAGTTTTAGAGCAGGTAACCTTACTACTAGGAGCCCTTTGGCATAGGTATATATTCATAAAAGCACTTCGGAGAAGAAAGCATCTCAAACACTTTAATATTAAATAGACACTGAGCTAGAACAAAGGATATTTTTAGATTGAAAAAGGCTTCGAGAACTTTCATGTCGATCTATTTACCATCTCAGTTTTATTAATTGGGGAAAAAATATCGGTAATACATTTATAAATTGCATATTTCTGAATTTCGCGCTGAAATCTCTCGCACGTGGTACCACGAATTTCAATGTGTATTTTTTTTTACTTTAGCAACATTTGCTGAAAGTAATTTCCTGAGACTTAGTACGTTAGGTCTAGAGCTATCTCAAAAGTCTGTTCACTTTGTTTTTAGTACTAAGAGTTATGTAGGACCTAGTAAAAAAAAAAAAAAACGTCAATATATATAAGGTCACAGCAATGGATGCAATATTGCAACTATGTCAAGCCACCCGAATTTTCTTTTCGCGCATTTTCTTGCTTACCGAGAGAGTTCTCATGGCAAGCACAAGTGATCTTGCAATTATGAAAAAGAAATTTACTAATGTCATAACTCATTAATTTGAACACGCTTAATTCAAACTTCCGGTTAATTATAACTGACGCTGTGGTCCCGTCAAAGCTATGTGTATACAATGGGCGAAAACACCCTGTAATTCGAGCGCGCAAGCACTTGCGACAATTAATTTGAACATACCGCACTACGAAACTGCTCTTAGCACCACGCCCAATCCCACGGCGGCACCTCTGACACCTCAAAGCTGTGTGCAAAGATAGAAAAAAAAAAAAAGGAAGGGCTGGGGCGGAATCTTTTCTCTCTCTCAAATCATGCCGATCTGGGACGCGCCTGTGCCACGTTTCTCCCTTTTCTGTCCCTGCCAGGCAGAGACTCTCCCTTTTCAATGCAGTGTGCAGAGAGAGAAGAAAAAAAAAAAAGGTGTCGCGAAGTGGTGGCACTGGTGATTAGAAGAGGAAAGAGGAAGAAAGGCGCCCAATTTCTGCAGCCCGGTAGGGGGCACGGCACAGCGCCTCCACCAAGTCTTGGCTCTCTCTAAAATGTTGATTTGTGACGCGCCTCACCCTTTCCCATCCCTGACATGTAGAGAACTTTCTTACAATGCAGTGCGCAAAGAGAAGAGAGAGAAAAAAGGAAAGCTGCCTGTGGAGTGTTGGTTACCTCTCAAACCACAACCGCTGGATGACTACGCACCGTGTGGTGCGTAGTCATCCAGTGGCTGTGCTCAAATGCCCATCTGCTTCTCTCCACGTGGAAACGCTCCTCCTTTCTCGTCACATGCTGGCCACGCTGTGGCTGTCGCGCAGAGGGTAGCAGCGGAGACGCAGTCGTTGTCATCTTAACACCTAGTATATTGATGTTACGAACCTGTTTGCATGAAGGTAACAAATTCTCTCATTAGACATTACCGCTGTCTCTTAATAAGATATTATTTAAGTTATTAAAGTACTGCCTGCAATGACAGTGTCTAGCGATTTTATGATTTCTGACGTCGTGCCACGAGCCGCATAAAACTGCCCAGCGAGCCGCATGCGGCCCGTGGGCCACAGTTTGCGGACCCCTGAGATGGACGGCTTGGCGCAGTTTGGCGCAATTTGCATCGATTTCATCAGGTTGGCGCAGCAAATCTTGTTTGGCACACTTTGACGCAGTTTGGCGCAGTTGGCGCAGAAGTGGGACCCCTGCATTTGCACATGCCTTCTTCCAATTTTTAAAAAATTTAGTGCAGGTTAGTTGGGTATGGGAAATACGCTAATTATTCTTAATAGTGAAGTTTAAAGGGATCCTGCAACACCTCTAGAGCATGGTCATAAACTGCTGACAATCAGTGGCCGAGGCTCTTGAGTACACCAGTGAGCCAAACATTATAGTGTGGCATGCAGCCTGGAATTCACAATTAATTCTAAATGTCAGCTAGAAATCAACTGCTCTTCACTCAACAAATGATGCCATAAACTCTAATAATGGCGTCATGAACCTCAAGTCCATGGCCCCTGGCTGCTTCGGGCTTCATGAGATGTTATCTTGTTATCTTCGTAAGATGTTATCATTGTTATCTAGGCCACCTGTACCCATGCGCACACTTGCGATCCCATTGAATGTAAGCCACACCTCCGAATAAAGAAGAGAAGAAAGTGTACAAGGTCACATGCACTGACAAACAATTGCAGTTTATTGCCCCCTTTTCATCAACCCTCTGCATCTCCTTGAGCCCACTCACTGGTACAAAAGGAGAGAGAAAGCACTTGAAGTGGGTTGGCGCATTCTTGAAACTTTGGTCATATTTAACGGATTCCCAAAATATCTGCAATTCACGAGGCAATGATCTCCTTTATTATTAAAGCATTATTCAAAGGTCACATGTTCACATTCACATTACACTTACATCATATAACATCCTCTATATTTTTTTTTCGCATAATTGTCTGTTAATTGTAATTAATGTTGCGTCTAACAAATAAAAAAAAACCCTCAATTGTACACTTCCTTGCTGCATTCATAGCAAGGGCCTCGTTCTGGCAGACTTGGTGCCTACTGGTAGTATACAAGGCAAAAAAAAAGCGTCACTCGCTGTCATGACTACAGATGGCGCTGACCAACGCTCCCAAGTTTAATTCACATATACACCCAATAAAGTGAATGGGGAAATAGCTGCCGTGGTAGCTCTGTTAGTAGAGCATCGAACGCGTTATTCAAAGGTTGTAGGCTCGGTCCCTGCCCACGGCAAGTTATCTTTTCATCCACTTTTCTTTCTTGGCATTTACATAACAATTACAACTGATAGCTTCCCTTATACTTTTCTTGGCATGATAGTGAAATCTCATCAATATTGTGTTTAACTAAGAAAACAAGCCCTTAATTGTACACTTGTTTACTCCTAGTTTTGGCACCTAAGGCAATTTACAATGCTACATTGTTTTGTTGACAAATATTTCATTTATAGAGTTGACCTCTAGCAATGGTGGGCATTGTCACTCTAGCTGTGGCATCTAACTCACTTGGTGTTTAAAAAGAAGCTAGAGATTTTGTAGAGTGATTTCTCTAGGCAACATTCATAGCTTTCAATAATAGAGGCCACTGAGGTCACTAATATATTGTCCAAACAATAACGAACCCCGCTTTCGAATAGCTCTGGCAGATGACAGCTAATACTGTACAGGCTTTGAACAATACGCACTTTTTTTCTGAACACTTACCGTTCTTGACTCGGAGCAGCAGCAGCAGCAGCAGCAGACATAGAACCGGGTGCTGCTGCATTGGGTAGTGACGGGGTTCGCTCCGCCTGCGTCGTAAGCACACGACATATGAAAATGGTAAATACATAGAGACACTGAGGAATGTCAAGCAACACAGCACCCCCTTTCTGTCCTTATATATACAGTGCCATCCACTGTTAGGGTGAACACTGCTCAGCATGGCCGCGCTTCGTGCAGTGCCAGTGTGCCAGCGCAGCCACACATCGAAGCGAAGTGACTCGTGCGCACACGGAGACATAGGAGATGCTTTACGTCGTCTGCTACATCGTTTGAATGCACTATTCCATAGTAGCCAAGCGCCAGTCTCGCTTGTCTGCAGTACTACAGCAAGAGCGGAGCACTCTAGTGTGCTACCTCAATTCGATGCGCGGCTGCACCGGCACTCTACAGAGCACTGGCACGTTGAGCCCCCAAACAGTGGACGCCACTGTACATATAAATTCCTTATGTCAACTGTGTTGGTCAAGTGTGCTGCCCATGTGCTGTGGTGCCTAAACACGCTAGCTGCTGCAAGCCTCTCCGACTTGTTCGCTTCCCTACCCCTTACTTTAAAAGAGGCTGTTATAAATCTGTAAGTCAAATATTCTGAACGATATGACCTAGAAATGCAGTAAGATATTGACAAGTGTAAGAAAAAGATCCATCGACAGCTTGCTTAGAGCTAGTTTCCTTGTACCTAGTTTCCATGCCAACAATAAAAGTTTCGTTTATTATCTGTCGCCAAGGGCAGTAGTACCAAGCCAAAAGGAAATGCCAATGTTGAAAGAAAGTGAGATGCTTTGCATGTGCACTACAATCACGTAGTGCAATTGTCACGTATCTGAGTGTGCAAGATATGCGACAGCCTTAAAGGCAAAGCTCCTGCAAATCGAGTTGCTCCACTGCTTCGCACACTGAAAAACAGGAAGAATGGAATGTGTCATTTAGTTTGCACTATTCATATTGTACGGTATTTTATGAGGTCTAAGTCGGCCCCATTTCTAAGCCGACCCACTGTGTTAGGAAGCGAGAAAAAAAAAAAAGAAAATATTGCTTTAAATGTAGGTTGTGAAAAAAAACAGACATATGCACACACACACATATACAGGCACACACAAATGACCACTACAATGCACAGAAACACACACACTAACTACACACGAAGGCAGAGTAGATGACTCATCCAGCCTTTCACTGTGCACATTCATGCATTTTCAATGCGATCTCTACTGAATGGAAAAAAAAGGAGACGTTTACACTAGCCTTGTGAAGCAAACAGCAAAGCTGGTTGATCTAAAGAGCTTAACTCGGATTTCTTGACTGATGCTAGGTTTTTCCTTGGTGAAGTTGAGTCGACCCACAGCCTGTGACAGGCCACGCAGAAACGTCAAAACTCCAGCGCCAGAACTAACATGCAAAACCGGCTGTGGAAGCCCAGCGAGGAGGACAGGCCTTTTATCACTTGTACTAAGTTGGTGCAGCGGGCAAGCTTGACATGGCGACTGCCCAGACTGTTTCCACTAATGGGCGCGTGATAAGCAATGTTGCAGAGGGTTTTTTGCACACACCTGACGTTTTAGCTCAAGCTTTGAAAGCTCACTCTTAAAACCTGGCGACGCTTCTCTTAGACATGGACCCTGCTGCTGCGTGGCAGCAGTCATCACGAGAAATTTGCGTTCAACGTGTCACCTACTCGCGCCAATGTTGTGTCTGACTAAGCTGAAGTACATGTACAGTCAGATTTATCATGAAAATGTCTATACAGAGATGTTTTCTAGTGTTAAAGCTGCTTAGTTCTGGCAGTAGATAGGCACAGCTCATATCATCTAGAGCCAACTTAGTGACGGCTATGCTCTCTTTCGCACTACAGTGTTCCTTCGGCACGAAACCTAAATTAATGGCAGAATGGCACGTTTGGGTTTAAGCGTGAAGAAGGTCTATGTTTGCTCTATGCACCACGCGCTGTCTAACATATAGTTGAAGATTCTAAGTGCAAAAGCACTGTTGGCAATAAATCCCATTCGCAGGTTCATCAGTAGCTTCTGTAGTGTTTGAAGACATCACCACAGTTGTACTGAAGTCGACTGGCTGGCTCATGTCTGTAACTAAAAAGGCGCAATATATTATGCGATAGCATGTGCCACACCTCAAGTTGCACTGTGCAGTTGACAGTTGCAGACATACAATGAGACGTGGTTCCCGCCGAGGGTAATAATACAAGGCATAAACACTCCTTGGCGGTTACTGGTGTCGTCACTAGCTGCCTCGATACTCTCATTCTAGGTAATGGTAGCAACATTTTTATAAATTTTCATCATTAAAGAGCACATATTTCTTACCCTTGAAACTAAGCTGGCTTTAGAGTTTGGTGCGTGGGAATTAAAAAAAAAAAGAAACCATGGCCTAGATCTGACTAAATACGGTACTTATGCTTGACATATTAAACGATAAAATTTTTTTCAACAAGACACATTGTTGCCATTGAAACTGACGCTCAACTACTCATAGATGCCATAAAAAATAGATGCCAATAAAGATGAAGAAAAGATTAAAAAGCAATGTCTCGGCCGGCAAACATTTTTCTTAGGCCACACAGAAGAAAAAACAGAAAAGATTCAAGGTTACTTGTTGAAGCGGCCCTGCGACACAAAGCGTGTTGTTTTCATCATTTTTTTTTATCTAACTGTGGAATGCACCGATATCAGTGCGAGAGTGGCAATGCAAAAAACAAAGCTTTTATAAATATATTTCTACAAAAAAACCACACTGTTTTCGGACCAAAACAATACAGAGCGGCTGTTTTTGTGATCGGAAGCGACGCTTCGCCATGTGAGACCGGCAAGATACGCTGTGCGTTTTGATCGTTTGGACGTGACAAATCGCGAGCAACATTCACATGGTCCCAGACAGGCCACACTATTGTGCACTAAAATTCTAAAAGCACCTTTAATACTTCCTCGGCTACAAAAAGATTTCTGCCCTCAAAATGTGGAAGTGTGAAGACAACTTAAAAACAATGCTAGGAGCTCTGCAGAACAGCCACCATGAGGCGAGTCATCTGGTAAGTCTCTGTGAGAGTCTCGCGGTGATTGGAAGCGACTTTTGATGTCAGTGGGAGAATGAAATGCAAAAAGAAACATTTTTTTCTCGTTGTCTGCTGGGGTTTTGATGTTTGAAGGCTAATAACTTCCATTACCATGTACCGATTTCAATCTTTTTTTTTTAATGAAACTTTGTATTCAGCTCTACATGAACTCCAGTGTTACAGAATGCAGTCGAAGGTGGTCGAAATTGCCAGAGCCCTCCACTACTACATCTGTCATAATCATGTGGTGGTCTTGGGTCGTTAAACCACAAGAATTATCATTATTATTATTATTATTATTATTATTATTATTATTATTATTATGCAGAAAAAAAGTGTCGCAGGGCCCCTTTAAATTGTCCATCCAAGTTGGCATCTGTTCTATGTTGTAAGCAACTTTTTCCAAGTAGATGAGATTTCGCTAGATTGTAAAGTCTGGAGCTGTACAATTTTTAACTCTGAAGCCTGCCCACATTCTTCCCCCTGATGCGATCACTGCTGACAGCCCATAAGAGGCACATAAACTCGTTACGACAAACTCACTCCTAGATTGGGAAATCAGCATAACTTTGACAGTGACAACCGAAACTCATACCTTGCCTGCAGGTGCCTCCTTGGGAACAGAGTGTGACCTGCCGCCTGGGTGGCATTCAGCAGCGACGTTCATCACCGTGGTGATCCACTCGTCCCGTTCTGGCTCACTCAATGCCTGAAGCACTACCGACCTATGGCACACAATGTGAAAGAAGCACTTGCTGTAGCGCGAGAAGGTTTGCACGGCCTGGGAGAAAGGCATACCGTACTTCACTGGGCAAACCAGACGTGGACAAAAGAAAAAGTAAAAAGAAAAATCACTGCCATATCCACAAAGAGAATTTTGTTAAGGAGCTTGCTCGGAGGTGCACGGGGCGTTTTTCGGCCAGACCATTTCTGTAGGAAGGCTTGTTAATGAGCCGGCACATGATATGTACGTCGAAGACAGCGTTCTTGGGCACCTTCCGCGGCCGAAATTGCACAGTATTGGCCACGTTAACCCCCACATTAACCGATCGGCACATTAACCCCCTGCCCCTTTATGCCACACTGGCCACTGCCGTGAGTCAAATGCCTAACGCTTGTAAATGGCAGACGTGGAAATATCAGATGTTCTTCAACAGGGTTGAGAGCAGGCAGGTGAGAGGGCTTAGGAGGATATCGCTACCTGTGCATAACACTCATCATAGGAACTCGTGACATGCTGCCATGCCTACAAAACGACTATCCTCGCCCTGTCGGCCTGCCTGATGTTCGGCGTGTATTGGCACGGCCAGACCACACACTTCTTACACCCCTATTTTTACCTCTCTCTTTCACACACCTTTCTCTCCCACACTACCTATCTCCGTGTGGCATTGTTGAGGCGACCTCCTGAGAGAGAGAGAGTTACGACGACACACTTTTCTCTTTACTTCCCTTTTGTTGAAATCTACTTCGAGGAGGCGAGTGCCCAGACCATCGAAAACCAATGCCTTAGGTGGCTGCGTGCCATCTAGTGACCACCTGTTGGAATTACCAAAGAGGCGACCTTCAGTGCAGCCACAGAAGTGTGTACAGGCAACACTCGGTGTACATGCCACCCGCCGACAGAAGATAAGGCTATAAGCAAAAAGAGCAAGCTCCTAAAGAAAAAAAAAGCAAGGTGTGTCGTAAATTGACATTGTGTTTTTTTTTTTTGTCCACAGGCATGACCTGCCAGATTGAGGCCACATGCAGCGTTGCTATAAAATATATGCACAAACTAGTGCGAGAAATAAACTATTTTTATTTCAGTAGCAGTCATCAATATTATAGCATGTTAAAGCACATGGGTCATTTTGCCTCAATTATACAAGCCTGAGACAGCCATGAACTTCGACTGATCAAAGCAGTCTCCACCATCAGCACATTCACAACATTGCCTTACCCCAACACACAGTACCTAAGATGAACGAGGCATACCTACACGCACTGTAGATTGCTGATAAAAAATCCAGTTATGGAGTTGTTAGCTGGAAAGTTTCCTATACATACCTTACTTTTTTGTCTTCAACTCAAGTAGTGCATCCACCCTCGATTACCCAACAACATTTATATTATGCCGAAAGATGGTTTCTGTCTTTCACCGTATGGTCTGCATAAAAAACTGCATCTTTCTGCAGTTTTTTTTTGCTAGAATATCTAATGTTAAATAATTGTTCCTGCATGCATCATTTTTTTTAAACATTGCTGCACGTGTGGCTGTATGTTAAGAGCGTAAACATAAAAGTGAACTTGAGAGCTTGGGAAAGATAGCTGCACAGAGAACAATGGTGGGCAAGTTGGACATACTTTTTGCCGTTGCTGATCTGGAAGACGTTGCGGCGGTCTTCGTCCAAGGCGTGCGCGACAGTTCCCCTGTCGATCTCCATCACAGCACTGCCGACACTCTGGGAGCAGGACGAAGGAAGGCCACGTGTAAGTGCTATGCAGCAGTTCAAGTGTACGTGCTGTACATTTTGATTAGCTTGTGTTCCCTGATAAGTTGTTTTCCTCACATGTCTCTCATATCTCTTCTATACCAGCTTCTCCATGCGTGCCAGATCAATGTTGGTGTGTAACTGTGTGGTACTATACGATGGCTGTACAGCCAAATTTTGCTAAAAAATTTAAGTGATTAATGACGCTTTAAAACCATCAGCCTCTTCTTGAGAGGTGACTGTCGAGCAAGACACCAGCGATGGTGTTTTTAAAGAGTTGTGAGTTGTCCTCGTAACTATTATAGTTTTTCTGCTGCCTTTTCCAACGCTGTATTTGAAAGCCGTGCAAATAACGCCATAATGTCCCCAGTGATTGACTGAAGTTTCCCAGCTTGATCAGTATATGCCATGATTCTAAGCATTATATATTTTCACGTCATTTCCGTACTTTGAAGATGTTTACAGTGGAAGTTAAGCTATAGTACAAGACATTGCCCCACTGTTTCTGTAAAGGTGACTCCAGCACAAGAGGAACTTCGCTTTCATTTGGCTAACCTCCCTGTCCTTCCTCATTTATTCCTCCTCCTCCTCGCTTTCATTACCATGTGCAGCGTTCACTGATCCTTGAGCACTTAGGACCGCACAGTATGTATGTGCATATGTGTCTGCATAAAAAAAATTTAAACACAACTTACCTCTCCCTTTGGAATGTGCATAAGGTGGCACCCGAGGGTGTAGAAGTAAGTTCGGTCCCAGCGGCTCACCATGCCTGCTATTTTCCTGCACAGTTACACCGGCACAAACTTGAACGGAGTACATGAAGTTACAGTAGACAGATTACACTTCCATTGACTTCTATTGAAAGCGAGCAATGTGATCTGCCACATAAGCTCCATGTGTTGTCACATTGTAGCAATGTCTCACCAAGGCTAGTTAAACTATGTACAATACTTAGGGAATCAAACGCAACATCAAGATATTAAGTGTCACAACTAGTATGCTTAATTAGTTGAGATAATCACATTCTGTCACTAAGAATATTGCTACAGTCGAAACCCGCAATAACGAAATCGCCGGGGAAACCGAAAAACTTCATTTTCGTGAGAATTTCGTTGCCGCGAGTATGAGAGATAAAAACAGTGATACGGCCAGCAGAACGAAAATTTATTGCCAGAAGTCGGTCAACTTACTTTGCCGACCCTTGCCATGCAATAACTTCAAAGCTCTGCCTTCGCCACTGGAAAAAGTGGTCCATTGCTACGTCGTCGTCATGTGCGCCGAAAGAGCGAAGCGTGTCCTGCGCATCCAAAACAACCCACAGGTTGTTTCGGATGCGCTAGCTCGTCGTTCCTGCTCGCAGTCTCGGCGTCAGCGAAGTTAGGGATAAGGCCGACTCCAATGCCCGCTCGTAATAATCTGATCGTGCATCCGGTGTGGCCACTCGTAGTAATCTGACCGTGCATCCGGTGCGGCCACTCGTAGTAATCTACAGCTTACAGCTTCGCCGCCGCTTACAGCTTCGTTGTTTGCGTCGAAGCACGTTGCCACGAGTCTGCTAGCGTGTTGTTCCTGCCCGCAGTCTCGCTGTCAGCGGAGTGAGAGCTAAAGACGACTCCGATGACGCACCGCGCTCGTAGTTGCCTGATCGCGCATCCGCCTACTGCTCCTAACTAAAACGTAATTATATCTTAAGTGATCATCGAGCCGTGAACACGTCACGAAGTAGCAATTTTCTAGAGCCATGTCCTCGCGACGCACAAGCAGCAGACGACGATCTCCCGGAGCGAGCATCAAGCCAATGGCGAGGCGAGCTGAGGCAACATGGCAGCCACAGCCAATCAAGGGCCTCGAAATCACCTTCAAACATTTGTTTTTTGTGCACTTGTTTTTAAAGAGAGGAGCCAGCTGAGGCGGGAAATTTAAACATGGAGAAATGCTCTTTCCGATGAGCCTGAGAAGCTGGCTCCCGGCCCCGCCATTGCGAAGCCATAATTTTTAGAAAATCGCTGTTTTCTCGCGATTTCCAGCAAAGTTCCGCTACCTAGGTGGGTGAAATGAATTTTCCGAAGCACTTTTGTGCGGTTTTCAGTGTAAATATTCTGGAATCGGAGAGAAAAAAAGGTTTCAGAAACGGAAAACTTGATTTTCGAAAAATCGATTTTTTTGCCATTTTTCGCGATCCCAAAGCCGCGTCCTCCCTTAAGTAAACAAAAATGGTGGTACCCACGCTAGCGCGACAAAAGCAGACATTTACAAATTTTGAGTGTGCATAACACGCTATTTTACCTTCCCGACAGTTAACCTTTGGCGGGAGGGTAATATAGTAAGGTGAGCACCGTGGTAGAAAATTCGTTAATGCGGGATCGCTGTCCAAAAACATTTCGTTGCCCGGTCTAGTGGCTAAGGTACTCGGCTGCTGACCCACAGGTCGCGGGTTCGAATCTCGGCTGCGGCGGCTGCATTTCCGATGGAGGCGGAAATGTTGTAGGCCCGTGTGCTCAGATTTGGGTGCACGTTAAAGAACCCCAGGGGGTCGAAATTTCCGGAGCCCTCCACTACGGCGTCTCTCATAATAAAATGGTGGTTTTGGGACGTTAAACGCCACATATCAATCAATCAATCAAAAACATTTCGTTGCCGCGAGATACGTAATACATGGGCTTTTATGAACATTCACCGGGGATCCGGAAATATTTCATTGCCGCGGGGATTTCGTACTCGCGGGGTTTCGTTATTGTGGGTTTCGACTGTATTCAAGCTGATATTGTTTCCGATATAAACGTTCAAATTGAAATTATGCTAACATGACACAGACTTAATACATTGAGCTCTCGGTACAACCAATCTCAAGGAACCGCTAAAAATCTTTCGTTATTTTGATAAGTCGTTGTAGTGAAAGCATTAAGGATTTGCACAAAAATTGCAAACACAAACACGTGATTCGCCCACCTGTGCTGTGCATACTTTTCGACCGTGCTATGGTCGATGACCACAAAAAGCAAACGTGAGATCACACGAAATCAGTGCACGTTTATTCGAGAAAGAGAGCGATCCATCCTGACGTGGGCAACTCTACTGCTAAAAGATGAACTCTCAAGCGTGCACATCCTTCTTACAAGCTGAAAAGCATCAGCGTTACAATAGAGTCTCGATGATACGATTACAGGTTGATGCGAATTTCACGATGACACGAATTTTGAGGTTGTTTTGGATGGATTACATTATATAAAATACACCATGATTCAGTGTTATACGACTAATTTCCCCAGCCAACGTCGGCGATACGAATGATTGTGCGATTGATCGCTGCATGCCAGCGGCACAACGCGGCTTGTCCGTGGGAGGAAGGCCCGTTCACTCTTGACCTCGAAGGAAGTGAATGCAGCAGAACTCCCCAAATTATCTTCGCTTTGGTGGCCGGAAAAACACGCCGCGAAGCCGGACACGAAAAAAACGGCCCGAGACTTATTTTCCCACCACGCCATAGCATATCGCCTTTTTGCTTTACAGCTTTGACTTCACAGGCTGTTCTATCTCTCAAACCAAATGATGTCAACAACCAGCCGCAAATCAACATGGCGGCGAAGGCATCGCCGGTTGGTCGCGTTGACGCTACCGCTACACTATCGCGGACTACCAGCGCGACACGTCAAAGATCTCGGCCTTGGCAAGGACGCGGTCGTCAAAAGCCTGGTTTGGATTACGATCGCTGATAAAACCGGAAGTAGAAAAAGGTGCAGCAACAGCGAGTCGGCTTGCCCGAACGTGTCTTGCTTTTGCACTGCCGGCTGAATCAGTCGCGGTCGCTGTGTCACCTCGTGTCGTTTCGGCTTACGTGTCCTTCCGAAATAATGTTAGTAAAGGTGTAAACTGTTTCTTTTCAAAGCCTTGTATGCATAATTTGTGAGGGAGCACCCGCGCTCAGCCTCCCTTTCCCTTTTTACGGCAGGTCGAAAGCCTAGTTGCGGGAATACCCGCACGACCGGCGCTCGCGATTCCCCCTTTCCCGGCGCACGGAACGGGTTTTCCCCATTTAACGAGAAAAGGTACTATTCTCGTCAGGGAGAGGGTAACCAGGGGCAGAGGACCAAACTGGCGTGCGGACGGCCGCACGCTCTCTCTGACACCGGCCAGATACGAAGGAGGTCGAACCCGCAGCCCTCCTGCAAGCGAAGGACATCAAGGACGAAGGAGTAAGCGTCTACTCTTGTTTCTGTGCTATCATCTCGCGACATTTGCACGCTATTACCAACGCCTAGCAATAAAGTGTCGTTTTGTTGACCTAGCCTGTTGCTTTATTCGCCCGAAACCGTGTAGCTGCAGTGAGACGAGCTACGAATAGGGGACGTTAATCGTGCATGGTACGAATGCGTGTGGCTGGTGGAACATTGGTTAGGCTTCTACCTAGGACAACCCCCTACAAGTTATAACTCAGCACGAAACTTTAGTGCTCCGGAAAGGAGCAAAATGAAATGAATTCTCAAGCGGTGATGGCAGCAGTGAGAGTGGCCTGTATACGAGGGGCAGAACGAATGTGAACATTTTCAGTGGGCGCGGACGTGGTTTTCCAGTTGTGCTGGCATTTTGGCTTGAATTTTTCAATGCGAATTCTCCAGGACTCATTTTTTTTTAGTGTCAACTTCATGGCATGGTTTTTCGGCTGCTTAAGTGGGTATGAGAGTGAATTTCCAATGAGTCTGGCCGCTTTCGCTCACTCTGATGTCAACTGTGAATGAGCTCCGCCAGCAGCGTGAGTGAGGAAAGCGAGGCACTTAAGAGATGGTGAAGGCAGGAAAGTTCAAAAGAACATCACAGACTTTTCTCAGCCAAGTGTAGTTGCCAATGAAGTTCTTGTTCATCATTTTTATCAGCTTTAAGTTGTTTTTGGTTCATACCAATTCGGACTGATACGAATACTTTATGCACTCCCCTCCAATTCGTATCATCGAGATTCTACTGTAATTATTCTTCGCTTTCGTTCACACGCGCTGTTTCAAAGCAGTCTTCTCTGTCCTCGCTATTTTCTTATCACGACAAATGGTATGGATCTTGTCCGTCGTCAGCTAAGCTCATATGCGAGCTTTGTCATCGCACTGTGCGTAGTGTTCGAGCGTTAGTGAAGCATGAATGGGTACTCATTGGCGGCTCCATCCAATAGGTCACTCGCGTCGTATTTTCCACTATCGTAGCATTCCCTTCGTGCTACTTCTGGAGTTTGTCTTGAACACTCAACTGCCAACCAAAAAGCTTGAACACAGCCGTGTAACAAGCGCACAGGTCAAGCTGTTTGATGAAAACAAAGGCAACAGGCAAAGCAGGGAGAAGCCCGACATGAAAAACAAGTACCAAGCAGTGCTGACGGCGATAGGACTATCGCCTCAACAGGTCAGCGATAGTTCTAATGACTAAGACGGGCAGGCAGAGAAATATGCGAGCATTCTGATGATGATGATAGCGGCACATATGGCACTGAGTATTATTTTTACTGCCGTGAGTAACTTTTTACAAAATCGCTATTCGTTATTTTGAAGCACTGGGGGATAAATGGGGGATAAAATTTGATACGTTATTTTGAAACAATCGGTATTCTGAAATTTCTAGTAGTGAAATATTTTTACATAAAACCAATGGACATTTCAAGGAGAATTTTCAAAAATCCCTTCATATAAATAAATTGTTATACTGAAGTTCACTATAACGAGATTCGACTGTACAGAGGAAACAAATATAGGTGCACTAGTTGGTCCTAAATTGATGGCATGCAGCAGAGCCAGGCCTCACATTATACAGGGTGTTCTAGATAACTTGAGCCGAGAATTAGAAAATGAAAGACACTTCAGTAGTGAATTGAACCAAACGCGTACTACTCGCACTAGCCTGGAGGTACTCAGGCTACTTTTTATTTCTCCCAATACTAATTAATTATTAATTCTTAAGCCCCGCCGCAATAGGTCTAGTGGCTAAGGTACTCGGCTGCTGACCCGCAAGTCGCGGGATTGAATCCCGGCTGCGGCGGCTGCATTTCCGATCGAGGCGAAAATGTTGTAGGCCCGTGTACTCAGGTTAGGTGCACATTAAAGAATCCAAGGTGGTCGAAATTTCCGGAGCCCTCCACTACGGCGTCTCTCATAATGATATGGTGGTTTTGGGACGTTCAACCCCACATATCAATCAATTATTAATTATTGATTACCCATTTTTATAATTATGGGCTGGAAACCCAAATATGAACACTAAGATGAAGAGCACCTTCAGAAACCACAGACTAAATTGTTTCCTATACGATATGTCTAGCGCTTTTATTTTTTCAGCGTTGTAAATGAACAAGCAAGAGCCGTCAACTGCACACAGACACGCAAAATTTATTTACGCAAAAGCCGTAGGTGTTGCTCCTTTTCCCAATTCAGGAGTCAGAGTCGGAGAGCACACACTCATCCTCGCCTCACAAAATGTCATCCGCACTCGCATCCAGTGCATTCAAGATACCCGTCTTCTTGAAGCTTTTCCTGACTGATTTCATCGTAGATCGCCTGCCATGCTTTCATGATCTAAGGGCACAGCATTTCCACGGGCGGCCTCTTAATCTTACCACCTGGAATCAGCTGATGTTGTCCTCCAGCTATCCAGGTGGTGTACAGCCTTCAAACATTGTCCTTAAAAGGCTTATTCAAGGACACGTCCAAAGGCTGCAGTATCAATGTGAGGTCGCCCGAAATGAATGCCAGATCTGTGCGCAGCTCTTTTAGCTCCTCTCGCATGCAGTCTACTAGGTGCCAATGAAAGCTGTCCAGAACAAGCATGGACGGGAACAACAGACCACCCGGCCGCCAATGCCAGACTGTTTTCACTCAATCCACCATGAGTTCCGCGCTCATCCAGCCTTCTTTCTGGACTCGGACATAGATGCATTGAGGAAATGTGCCTTTGTGAGTGTCATACATTTAAAAATAATGTAAGACGGTAGTTAGCGCCCATCCTCTATCATCGCCAGCATTACGATGCATCACTGTTTATTAGCATAAGACGTTCTGACGATGACGCTCCATACACCTTTCTCCTCCATTGTCGTGTTCCACGACATATCAAAGCAAAGGGAGTCTGAGCAGCGTTGCCGATCTGGGACAAAATGAAGTCTTTTTGCTGTCCGAGCTTTATAACGAAACGATGGAAGTCCACCACTTTGTCCTCATATGCTGCGGGCAAGCGCTGGCACAAGATGGTCCGCCTTCACAAAGCGAGGCCATGGCGCCGCATGAAAGAAGTTGTGCATCCGGAGCTGGCTTTGAACTCTTGCTTTGATGCACTGCACTCGGGCTATTCTGCGCACCTCACTCTGTACAATATCCAATGACACAGCACAGCCGTCTTGTCGTAGCTCCTGTATATGCCGGATCAGTTGCTCTTTAACGTTCGTATACCTGCCGATCTTGGAACCGCAGAAAGCCCGTAGTGTCTTGTTCGTCGCCTTCAGCTTTCCTTCTTGATCCCTCCAGTACCGAATAACGGTTTCTCCAGCATCGAAATGCCTGCTTGTAATCCGGTTGCCGTACTCTAGCGCATACTGCACTGCCTTCAGTTTAAATCCAGAAGTGTAGCTTGCGTACTTCCCCATGGTGGAACCAACGTTGAATACATGACCACAAGATACGCACACCACTTGCAAAATGGCGTTTCTTTCTTTTTCTCTGATGGTGATGATGGCGATCGAGCCCCCGGCGTTGTACACATCACCTCCAAGGAGCGTGACGATTTGGGGGGTATCAGTAATTGATGAAACAGCCATTTTTTTTTCTCTCATGGGCACTTTATTTTTCAAGTTTTATTTCCACAAACACGTTGGTTAATTAGGTTGCTGCACTTCAAATTTTTGTATTTGCTCAACGATTTGCCTTCTTTTCTTTTTTCTTTTTTTTTTCAGGGTACGAGGACCACGTTTCAAATGTACCACTGGGGGGGGGGGGGGGGGAGTTATTACGTGCTGAATTGAAAAAATCGAATTTTCAGCGACCAAACTAGTGGTGCAACTATTATGCGAGTGCACCGATTATGCACATAAATACGGTAACCATATATACTAATGTTCTTGCATTTCACACCCTTTAAAATGTGGCCACAGTGGCCGGAAATACTAGCGCCTGCACCTTTGCGCTCTGCTGTGTGATGCTATAGCCATTAATGTATTTTGGTGGGATAATAAAAGGCTGCAGGGAACATTCAGGTACATAGAATCCACATTTCGAAACCTTGGGTCTCCATTACAACTACGTCCAATCATTAACGACAAAGCAGGTCAGTGCAAGTCAGCACGGGGCACACTCACGTCCGTTGGAACAGGTAGCCTGCCTTGTGGGACAGGCCTGTCTGTGCAGGTGCAGAGGCACCTTCAGCAAGATAGGCCGAGCTCTCCTCCCCTTGCCGTGCCAACACGCCCGCTTGGTGCGCTGCCTTCTCTGTCTGAGCCTGTAACTCTCGCTGCACCCTACAAAGTTGGAAACAGTTCAGCAACTCTCAAAGCTTGCGATATACAGTGTGCTCCTCCACACACATACAGCAATCAACATTTAAGTAGCGAAAGCAGTCAAGAGGTTCTACTTTGCAAGCTTGCAGGGTCACTGCATACGAAGTGTGCCGGTAAAGTTTGAATGCATGGCGCACAGTCTTTTACAAGATTAGCCAAGCGCAGTCAAGCTGACAGTGCTCTTCAAGCATGAAGAACAACCAGCTCTGAGATAACAGTGAGAGTCAAGTTCATCGAACAATGACAGCATGGTGAGGAGGACGACAGAATAAAAGCGCTTATTGCGAGCGGCAGTTCATATTAAATAGCAAATGGTCGTGTTACTATGTACAATAATCTGAGCCCAAATCTATGCTTCAATGAGTAGTAGCAGGTACAAGCATACCCTGTTTAAAACCCACATGGTGCAACACATATAAAGAGCAGAAGAAGCACGGTTATCGCATGACTCTAGGCTGGTGTGAAATAGAAATTATAAGTTCAAGGCAAATTCAAATTGAATTTGGTCTGAATTCGGTCTAATGAAATTTCAATTTTATATATCACATATTATAAAGAAAAATAGACATACAGTTAATCTCCACTACAACGAACGCCGCTTCAATAAAATTTCTGCTACAATGAAAAATTCAGTTCCCCATCGGCAATCGAGGAGTCAATGCACAAATATTGTCGTAATATTGTAATACCGTATTTACTTGATTCTACCGCGCCCTCGATTGTAACGCGCACCCGATTTCCACCGCGAAAAAAAAAAAAAATGCAAGACATCGATTGCAACGCGCACCCATTTTTTTCACCGGCCCGCACGATCACACCACTCGAAAAAACGACTTCTTCGGGAGCGTATTCCATTTAAATATGAGGTACGGGCGAAGGTTGTGCCCATCTGACGTGTAACAGAGCTTTCCGTCACGGTAGTTTTACCGTGGACAAACTACCGTGGACCGATGTCAGCACGCGAACTTGCTTCGCCCCCTTCTTCTCGACGGTTGTGGTGCCAGGCATGTCGAAGTAAAGAGGCGTCTGATGGGCATTCCCGATTTGCCCAAGCAGGTAGCCGTTGTTGCGCCGCAAGTTTAGGACGAACCTCTGAAAACTGTGAAGCTTTTCATCCTACTCTTCCGCAAAACTTTTCGCATATGCATGTTCCCCTTCGGAGGGAAAAGCCTTTCCTCTAAATAAAGTTAGTTAGCCAGCACCTGCTCGCTTTAAACTGGCTCTGCATTGGACCTTTTTCTAGACTAATTGCGTAGCCCGCACTTGGAGCAGTTCTGTCGTCACGGACCGCTGTGCCGCTCGCTGCTCAAGCACATACTTGCCGAGCAGCTCTTTAATTTGCGAAAATCGACCCTGCTGTGGTCCACTGAAGCCTTTGCATGAAGCTTTGCTGTCGAGAATCTTCTGCTTTTGTTTCCGCCGGTCCTGCACGCACGTTTCAGGAACTCCGAACGACCGCGATGCGGCCCGATTTCCGTCCGTTTCTGCACACGCCATGACTTTTCTTTTAAAAGCGGCATCGTGGTGCACTCGAGTTTTTGGACTCGGCCCTTCTACGCCGTCGATGCTAATGCACTACTAGATGACGAACTCCTCAGCACACGTACGAAGTGCCGCACATGGGAAACACATAGGCAGAAATGGCCGACGCGCCATGCCGACGTAGAGGGCGGCCATTTTGGATTTGCCGATGGCAATAGATTGACCGTAATTTTTTTTGTTCGTACTCGATTCTAACGCGCATGCAATTTATAAACTCGCTTAACCGGAAAAAAGGTGCTCGTTAGATTCGAGTAATTACGGTATTCGTTCAATCATTCGAAGCGCTCAAGTATTTACAGAAGCCCGCATGACCATGTAAATGTGGTGTGCCTCGCCAATTGCTTTGATCACAGATGAGACCCAAGGCTTGCGAAAAGTCACGACGTTGGCACTTACTCTCCCAGGCTGGTTGCTATGTTGGTGAGGAACTCGTCCTGCTCGGCAGTGTGCATTGTCTCGTGGGCGACACCAAACAGCGACTTCATAGAGTGCACATAGCCCAGAAGTGGCTCGATCAGTGCCATTTTGCGCCGGTACTGCAGTGCATTCAGCTGTGCATAGAACTGCAGAGACACCTGCACAGTGCAAAAAAAAGAGAGGTTATTTATTCAACATGCGAGGCAGTGTGGCTTCAAAGTCTTGCTTGACGAATAGCACAGGATGGGAACACTAAAGGCAACTATTAAGTCGACGTTGATTGTTGAAATAGCGGTCCAGAAACCTTGTAGTGTTACTTTTGTGCCAAGGAAGGCCGTATTTTGAATTAAAATCATGCTTTAGTTGTCCGCAACAGGTTAGCACACTTAAAATTACTCGCCTCAAGAAGCGGACTGACCGGACCGACTCACGTCACTGTTGCGGTGCACATCGTTGCCCGCTTTTACTGCGCTAGTAGCAGCAGAGCGAAAGCAGCCGAGAGCCACAGCAGCAACAACGGCCATTGATCAATTTCTCACCATTGGCTCCGAAATTGCAGACGTTGTTTGGTTCAACTGCACTCCGCTAGAAAGAACCACCTGTTCAGTGCAACTACGCGGAAATTGTATTTTTGAACTACTCGCGCCATTCCCCACAGTAGCGAGCAGCATTTTATTGCGTCTCTTAATGCACGGAAGTTTATTTATTTAGTGCAGCTAGATTGTTTACTAGTGATTAAATGTAGGCAGTCCGTATGATGTCATCGGGAACATTTCGAGAATGTTCCACCTTGGCGCATGTGTTCTTGTGCATTTACCTTAATTTTTCGCTACTAAGTAGGAAACTGTTGTTGATAATATTGTCGCTTTAGATGTTGTCATACATTGAGCTTTCATAAAACTCTGACGTAAATTGTTATTTGAATTTAGTGTCCCTTTAAAGATGCAGCCCGTATACCTCTCACTAGCGTTTTGGCCCGCACATGACTGTCACCATGCTATATATATTTTTTTTCATATGAAGTAATTCGATGACCTACACAAATATGACAGTCTCTAGCACTTCTCTCGCGAGGTCCCCCGATCTGGTCATCATGTATAAAAACAAAACCATAAAGCTAAAGCTCTGAATCAGCATAAACATTTCTAGACTTCTGTCATTCCAGATCAGTATCAACAAGTTTCTTGAAACCTGACATCGAATACCTTTCAAAAATGATTATACTTGTGCAAATAGCGAACTTTAGGTTCAAAGCAAATTTGTAGTGAATTGTAATTTTGATCGAATAGTTTAGAATCGAGTCCGGATATTATATATAGTGCATATTACAAAAAAAAATGGGCATATTTGTCATGGCCTAACTAATCTACACAGTATTAAAAAAAATTAAAATGAGGCTTGTGCAAATGCCATTTCTTCGCACCAGAGAAAAAAAAAAACTTAGAATAGAAGCAAGATTTTAAGTTTGCTTAATTGAAAGTGATAGCCTGTAAAAAAAATTATGTTACCTTTAAAATTTGCTATACTTACAACATATAAGCCGGTATGACAAGCTTTTAAACTTGAAGAATCAATCGATGTGAGGGTAATATCTTTATTTAACCTTGCAGTGGGTCTTTGCGGCAGTGGGGATTTCCTCTGAATGAGTTTTCATGGCTAAGCACCATTTCACTGCAGTGAAAACACTTTGCCAAAAGGTTGCATATGAACCAATATACACCTAGATAAGTGCTTTCACGGCTTAGCACCCCACCAATGCAGTGAAACCATCAGTACAAAACGTTACATGCGGAACAACATGCTTTTATTTGTTCATTATATAATTCAAAATTTTCAATGATTTCAATTCAATTCAAAGCAAACTTGAATACCCCATTATACAGTTAGAATACTTAAATCATTCGAATATTCACGCAAGCCTAGAAATGACCCTTGCATGAGTACAGGAGATGCCTTCTTCAAATCGCAAGGTTACCTGACATTTCTTTTCCTCTTTTTGGAGTCTAAATATTGTGACTACAGCACTCTCGCTCAACTGTGTTTGAGACTCCTGGTCCTTAAAATGTACGAGTTATTCTTCAAAGGGGCCTTGCCACTTTTTGAGCGTGGTTAGAAAATACCGCCAATACGTTGTAAAGGCTCCCGAGAACACGCGAGTCAAATAATATAGCGCAGCACACGGCCTAGAATTAACAATAAATTCTCAAAGTCAGCTGAAATTGCCTTCTCTTCCCTAGAAAATGATGAAAACAGCTCGGAAATCACTAGTCACAGTCATTTAATCAGCCATTGGCTGATTTGAGCATGGTGCGATCAGTTGTTACAGGAATCGCCGCGAGAGGCTGCGACTCGTCCACACGTGCTCCCGCGATCGCACTGATAAGTTGCGTGCTAGATAAAAAAGAGAGAGGGAAAGTTCTCAAGGTCACAAGACGCGAGTGACGTATATGCTTCTCCTGTGCCATCCCTCTCTGCGTAGCTTCCAGCACTTTTGTTGGGACGAGAGAGTAGAGAATTCAATCACAGCGTACGACTAATCTTTGTACCTCAACTCGTACCGGATGGATTCGGAAAATGTTTGCAACAGTGAACTCGTGGGGCACTAAGCTCCTTGAGTGAATTCATCCCATGGCTACTTGAAAAAAGTGTTGCAGGGCCCCTTTAAAACTATATTTTCCATCAGTTTTGCGATCACAACTCCGTTAACAAAGAAAAATTCATAGTCAATGCTTTATTTTTTAAAATTTTGCACCCAAGCATCAGAAAGCAAAAGTTAGGGTGACGCTACCAATTTCAATGCTTTTTTTCTTAAGGCTAGAAGCATACATATGTCTCATAAGTAAAAAAAAAATCAGGCATAGTTAGCGTCAAAATCAAATTAAGTGATGAAGGTCAGTAAAAGGTCCCATGCTAATCAGGTGCATAAATGTGTACATCAATGTACCAGAAGCCACATGACTGTGACGCCATTGTGACGTCGCAAAGGCAAAGTTGGTGGTGTGCCACTAGTTGCCACTGGTGTGCCACAAAATTGGTGGTATGTCTACAGCATATTAAATGCGTTTTACAGAATCACATGCCTTGGCAACGAATTCCTCGTGCCAAGAATGACAACATGACCGTGTGAAACTGACCGTGTGGAATCGGCGGTTTGCCAAATACAGCTCTTCACTGAGGTCCAGTCGCTGCCGATCGGTGTCCTTTTTGCGCGACATCTTGCAGTAGCGTCCCAGTGCTTGTTCCCGCTCTGCAGTTTATAAATAATGGCACATGTAATATCCCACACGGTATCTTACAACTTATGACTTCAAAGACGTTTCCAAAGGTGTGTGTGCCTCTTGTGCATAGCCTTAATCAAAGCTGAGCGTGATTCGCATAGCCGTGAGGTGCACTGCTTGCTCTTTTCATTGCCATTCTAAAAATATGAATGCAAAACTTTCATGCATGGAAAAGTACAGATGATCTGTAACTAACAGTAAACTGGGTGTTAATAGCAGTAAATAACTACATCAACAGTATTGTGATAAGCAAATCACTATTTGTAGCTCTATACATGTTTGCTAGCAATACCAATAAAGATTTTTCTATTGGTATTAGCTGAAGACCCAGCTGTTTTGTTTTTGCAAACATTTAATGACTGAACACAGAAGGAGATTGCCAGACAAACACAGATGTTTTGTGTTATTTGCAAGTTTCTAAATGTGATAAATGTGTGTTTTAACCACAACTGACAAAAAGCTGCTGTTTATTTCTCTCTCTCCGCCCTCACACACACACTACAACATATTCAAGTCAAGTTTTAACTAGCATGGTAGGCTCTCGTACAAACAAACTTTACAGTTACCGTGTAGAAAGCATTTTTACATGATTCAGTGGATAATTGCACCGGGAGCTACAATCATCACTGCTATCTGCACAATTATCCCTATTTAAAACTACAGAAAAGGCATAACTGAAGACAGCGTAAAAAAAGGACAATGATTAGATGAAAACACGACACATGCACCACACATGATGATGCAGGCTGCACGATACTGACCACTTTGTTATGCTTACCTGGTATCGTTAAGAAAGCATGATAGACTGTAACACTTATACCTGTTACACTTTTAAATGCGAAGCAGCTCTTTGACTACTCTGTGTAATGCTGCCCCTCCATCCACATCGCTCCCCTCGCTGCAGGTGTTGGAGCGGCGTTAAGTACCTCACACGCTCCTAGCAGTGTGCAGTAACGTCTCTCTCCCTCGATGCTGCGCGCTAGCCGTGTGTCAGCTCTCTCTCGCTTCACCCTCTACACCGCTAACAATGCTCGAGCTCACTCCTCACGTGGGAATCATCTCACCTTTGCCACCTTTCTCCATCTGTCCGCGTGAAGAAGCTGCGAGCCGGCAAGTGCGAGCCGGCAAGATTCTCGACGCGCTATGCGCCCCTCGAGAATCTCGCGGCGCCGACAATGTGGACAGCCGCCACTACTTGCCGCAAGATCACGGCAACACACAGGGTGTCGTCGCGGCATGCTTTCTGGTAGTGTATGCATACCTTTCTCGTCTGTTGCCAGCGTTCCAAGGGTTAGTGAAGCCAATCGCGTTCGCGAATGGCGACGTCAACACCGACAAGCGGCGAGCCAGGTAAGCCGAACACAATTGTAGCCAGTGGAAGACCAGCGACACTGACGAGGAGTCAAGAACACCGATCGCGTTCGAGAACACAGACGGCGCGCAGGTAACACCGTTGGGACGCGAGCCAAGGAAGCCGAGTGCAAGCGTCTTTAATGCGTCCTGCCTCCTGTGTCTTTGTGTTTCAAACAAATGTTTAATTGAGTAAACACTACAATGAGTTTCGATTCAAACCGTTCTTCCAGCATCCCCATTAACAAACCTTTCAACCGGGTCAGGATACACACCGCTGCTGCTTCACATCCTATCAGGGTTCCCTTTGAGGAGATGGTCCATAGTTTTTTTTAAAGGAACATATTCATTGTGACACTGAATTAAAGGTTGGCACAAATCGCAGCTCACACGCTATGCGAAAAAAATGAATACTATTGAATAAACTGCAATTAGGTAATTTATAATGGACTTGCATGGCAGTCTACACTGAAATTATGACATGATGACAAGGTAGGGCCTAACGTGAACTTATGTTGAGCAGCTAGGGATGCACTGAACAACCCCCAAAAAAGCATGGGGTAAATTCAATACTCAAACAGTTTCCATTTACCTCATGAAGAGGTGAACCAACAAGTTCTTTTGTAAGCTATAGTACTTTTATGACAGGAATACAGGAAAAAGTCACGACATTCACCAGCTTAGCATGTGATTCGTGAACATACTCACCTGCTGAGGCCTTGTTGTACTGCTCTTCAAGGGTGAAAATTTCTAAATGAAAAAATTAAATGGAAGGAAGAAAACTGATTAAGCAATAGCAACCTTATCAATGAAAAATGCATACATAACATACACAAGCCATTTTTATGAAAGGATGTAGTACTAAGTCAGCACTGCTAAGCAAGTAAACACTGGCTACACTGACTAATTACGGTATTAAGCTCATAGTTCTTAAAAAACAAGCACAGCTATTACTGCTCACAAGGCCACTAGGTAAAATGAATCATTTAGGAGTTCTTCACAATGCCTTATCGTGGTTAAAGTCTCAATAAAGAAAATCCTCCTAAAATCTTCTAAAACATCTTTTTTTCTAAGTATACATAATAAAGCCATATATTAGCACGATCAACTGTTGATTGTAACAATGTAAAGCTGAAATATTTCCTGATAGTACTGGGGTGCACTAAGCATACCGTTTTTATAAATACGAAAAATCCCATACAATAAAAGCATGTATTTTCATGTTTTTCAACCTGGAGCCGATATTTTAACATTGACATGAGTTACTCAGTCACAACTCTGGCTCCAGGCTAAGGCTTTTCTCGTTCACTGACTGTATCAAACCGAAACACCATTTTCAGTGACATTTCTGTTGTCTGTACCCATTGTCACTGTTACATGAGCCTTGAGAGATGCACGCACATGCTTCAAAAAGACAGACTTGCCTCTGAGGTCGGATTCGAGAAACCTAGAGAGAGGGTATACCATGCCGTCACCTATGTGGGCGCTGCACATTTGGTGCCAGGAACTGATCTGAAAGAGGCACACGACAGCAGTGGTTCCATGCCTCAGTCGGGCAGTATCCAGCGGCAAGTCTCAGGTCATGCCCACGTACCAAATAGCTGCGTGCAACACCACTATAGCACTGATGGCATCCTACAAAACACTGCAGCTGGTGCATATGATCGAGAAAGTGAACAGGTGTTTGGAACTGTTTCTGAATCAGGATTCGGCAACAGAAATCAACAATCGTTTATTTAGTGCTTAGTACAGTGCTACTTTGTCAACGACACTGCCATCCTGCACAAAGCGTAACAACGAAAATAAGCATGTGCCAAGAGCTATCATGCGCTATGCTGCCTAATATATTTATATGTATGTATTTGCCAAAACGATGCCTATCTAAACATGTACACATCTTACATGCCTAATTAGAAAGGCAAATCATTCCAATTTTTTTTTTTTACAAAAAAGTCTGTGCATTTGATCTCATTTTTCAGGCAAAGAGGATGCTAAACACTATAAAACCTTAGTGATATGATTAGGCTTGAAGGAATTTCAGGGTGATATGAATTTTTCTTTGGTCCTGGCAAAGGCCCATTAACCTGAATTGTGATGAAATATGACTGTAGTGAACTGATTTGCACCCTGCAATGATTGAAACGAACGTATCACTATCACGCAGGTACCAACAGATGCTGTGTGCACTGTCACTGAAGATACAACAAGCACGAGCAGGAATGCGTGCTTCACTTCTAGTTTGTTAGAATCACCAATCGGAAAAATAATTTTTTTCTCTCCGTGGCCTGAAGAAACTTTCAGTCATGCCTTGTAACCTGTGAAATTGTGGGTGCGAATCTTGGAGGCCCCAACGCACCATGGTGTGCTTTCAAGTTTAGATTACAGACTGCGATGGCACAATTCTTTTTTTAAACATATCAATGCGTGTTGTGGTCGTTGTACTGCGTTAACATATAGTGCCTGGGACGAGGATACAAGCTATGTCTTCCTGCGTGAGATATTCCATGAAAAGTGGATGTGGACGAAAAGAGGATGCAGACGATCTTGGCAAAGAAGCTTGGTTACAAATAGTCATGCCCAATGGTTTGGTATGTGCACACGTGCCAACACTGCAATTTTGAGCACACAGCTGAATCTCATGAAAAACATCCCCCACACCACCATGACAAGAAAATAACTACAACAAGAGACAGAAGTTCTAAAAATTTTTCTGGCCTTTATTTATTGCGTGCAGAGCGCTCCTTAAACCACTATTCCTGCAAAAATCTGTTGTCGTGCAAAAAAGCGTACAAAGATTAGGGAGAGGGCACTTGTTGTGGGTAACAGCGCACCTGCTTCATTGATTACACACGTGCATATGGACCGTACATTTAGGAGTGCAAGCGTAATCGCTGACGTCTAAAAACTTTACTGGCAATCATTCGGAACTGTTCATGACGTTGCTGTGGCCTTGATAAACAATAAATGAAAACATATGGCAGGTTTCGTTTGCTGCGTGCCAATTTTTTGTATATTCTGCTGATACGAATTTCGCTTGACAAAAATATTTTCTGCGAACACACGAGATTCATATCACCGAGGTTTTACTTTAGAACTATAACAGTACTATACAATTCATCCTAAAAATAAGGCAACAGAAATTTACTGCAAGCGATGCAGTGAAACACTTTGTTCCTTCACAAATCCCTTCCTTTTTCAGTGTCCTCCAAAAAATTTCCTTCAAATGCATTTCTTTTGCATTGCGCTGATTCGAATGAGAACGCACATAAGAAATGTGATTTGTTATATTTTATTTTCATTAAATTACTCAGATAGTAAAAGAATAAAGCAACTGTAAAATTTGTGGATGATTATATTGCATTGGCAAATTTATTCTACAGTGTTTTAAATATTGAACCATGACATCTTTGAGAAACATTTCAAAACTATGGTGCATTCATTATTTCTACCTTCAAGAAAATTTATAATGGTAGTACTGAAAGAATTTTTTTTTTTTTGCTGCTCTTCATGGTTTCAATGTTATGACACAGTCAGCAGCTTGGCTAAATGCACTTTTTTTTTTCTGTGATGCAAACGCACCTTCTATGTCAACTGCTCTGCAGAACTAGATGATTTACAAAATACGAATTCTCCATCTTACTGCTGCTTGATGTGTTTGCAAGACGAGAATTGGTTCAACTAGCTCAAATCACCATATTGTCAGGCAATATCTAAAGGTGACAAGAATTACATTACAGACAAAAAAAAACTAATCCCAGTCATTATTTTATATAACTGTCACGATGAGTAAGTTGTTGCTGTTACTTGTGCCACTGATTGTGTAGCCTATATAAGAAATGGAGCCTTCTTCGTTCATAAAAATCTTTTACTGTGATTTGTTTTTTTAGATACAATACATACTTTCACAATTAGAGGCACATTTGTTTGTTGACCTGCTTTAAGCTTCCATTGAGAATCATGCTCTTCTTATAGACTTCATCTTGTTCGCAGCCTCTTGGCTATCCTGAACAATTTATTCACCCTTCACTGAGAGTTCTTATAGCACATTCAGCAATTTTCCAAGCTTTGTCAGTGTTCAATACACTAGCGCTGTGCACACAGTCTTCAATATGGTGGTAAGGACATACAGTGGTAAAGAAGCAAGCAAATGCTCATCAGACAGCGTGCAACAGCACGTACTGCCATGTGTCTAAATATGATACATCGAAGAACGATGTGATAGGTTGGAAGGGTGTTGCAAAGCCCCTTTTAGAAGAGTTAAGCTAATGAAAAACATTACACTTGAAGCTATTTATACGAGGCATGCACCGGGGAGCAATTTTCGTCGTTTATATGAGAGGTGTCTCTCCTGTAAGCATCCATTACCTTATATCAACCCATAATTTACTGTAGACACAGGCGTCTGTTATACCCATTTGTATCTTATATCAGTGTCTCTTATAAAAAGGTTCGACTGTATTTAAAAATTTTTCTTCAAGTAAAGCCATTCGAAAAATTGAGTTTGTCAACTATATCTGGGGTTTTACATGCCAAACCCAAACATGCCACATGCGAAACAAATATGTCTACAGGGCACACCATAGTGACGGGCTTCGTAAATTTAGACCGCATGGTGTTTTTTACATGCTCTGTTTTCACACAGTACATGGCCCTCTACGATTTCGCCTCCAACAAAATGCGACCCCCGGGACCGTGATTAAACCCATGACCTTTGGGTGAGCAGCTGAGCACCGGTAACCACTCTTCCACAAAGGACAAAAAAAAAAGTCTGCCATTTACCACATAAATTTAAACATAGGAACAGTGTCACCTACCTCTTCTAGGCTGCTGGAAAGTTGCCTGAGTGTCGACCGGAGAATGCTATCAGGGTCTGTGTCCAGAGCGAAATCCTGCACATTAAAATTCTTGTCAATCTTGGTTGATTACATCCAACCGTTGCCGCTCTAGTAAGCTCCCTGCTACCTCTTCTAAGCTTCTTTCATGGTAGCAATATTCTCACAGTAGCAGATGAACTTCAAGCGAAACTTCGCCTCATCAACTGTTACTAGAGTCACAAAGGTGACTACTGAGTATTTATTTTTTTGGTGACCTGCTAACAAGAAAAATAGATGCTCACAATATTTTTCAGCGTCCTGGCGGTAAAATGTAAGCTCATGGAACTGTTGCGGTAAATTTTTATTCTGTATGTAAAGTCTGAAATGTTTGCTTACAGGAATGCAACAGGCATTTTGTCCTTGGCACTAATTATGTATAACCAAGTCGACAGTAGCTAACGTGGTTGCTTGGGCGAGTTGGTACGACATAATTCACATAAAAAACAGCGCCAATAACGAGGGACAAGAGAAAGAAGGAAACAGACAACGGCACTGGCAGTGCCGCTGTCTGTCTCCTTTTTTCTCTTGTCCCTCGTTATTGGCACTGTTTTTTATGTGAATCAAGTCGACAGGCCATTGATGTCTAATTTTGCCATCTGTGACTGCTGACAAAGTTATGCAGAAATTGCTTATAAGTGTCTGTGTGCTGAATAGAGCTTAATCCTTGTCAAACGTTTTTCTCAGTGAACATTTTTATGGAACTGTGGTAATGAATGGTAGTTAATGAAATAGCTTTTACCATAACTACAGAGAGAAAAAGAAAGAAGGCAATACTGCAATTGAGAAAAAGCAGCACTCGCACAACACTGTCTTCTTAGCTTCATCAATGTAGCACACTAACATTTCGCAGCTGGGCAGGTGCGAATACTTCCTCATGCTTCCTCATACACATTCAAAGAATACCTGACAGCCAAATATTTGTTTGACACTTTCATGCATTAATTATTAGCTTTGAATATGACAATCCTAACACTGAATCATAAGCTCTATAACGTATTGTACAGTAATTGTTAGTACCGTGGCTTATAATCGTTTCTGGTGTCTACTTCAAAACACCCATATACAATCTAGAAGCTAGCGTCCCACATCGTACAGCGCCACAAGATCAAGTGTGTTCAAGCTTTTGTGATGTTGACAGCGCCCTGTTTGAATCGGGGGCAAGGCAAATTAGCCTCTGTCAGGTGTCAGTCACAGCATTGCGCATGCCCTGCAAATGTCTGCAACGTCAAAACTGCTCATCTTACTTGCTTAATGCCACAGGGGGTCCTCTATCCACATCAAGTCAGTGGCTATGTCACGAGATGCTGCGGACTCTATGAGTACTCACGCTTTAAAACCCAAGTATGATGAGTATCTTAAATACACTGAACGCCACTAATCATAAATCAGAAGTGCCCACCCCCGCGTACTGCGAAACAAACACCACTTACACTTCAGGTTCACAATTTCGGTGTGTTGAGGGTCTTTTAAAAGGCGCGAATGAATGCACATGTGAACATGAGTGAGTACCTATGATGGTGAGCAGACGTGGTGAGGTAACAAGAGCAGGCACTAGTGTGATTGCGAATGAGTGTACGTCCAGTGCTTGGCTAAATCAGAAAACCTGCCATACATTTGCTGTGGAACAGACGAATGGTTTGCGCTCACCTGGGTGTCATACTGCCGCATATGGAACGCCAAGCTTGCTGTGGCATCAGCCAATTCCTTCTGCAAGTTGCAAAGCAGTTGGGAAGAGTGTGAACAAGAGCCTGCAGGCAGAGATGAGAAAAGCTTCACTGCAGGCCTGCAGAACAGGCCTGCAGATGAGAAAAGCTTCACTGACAGAAACAGGTCAACACGACCGGAACAACACAGAATTGTGAAAATCACTGATGCCTAGGGTTAATGAAAACCAGCCCATAATGAGGCCAAGGAAGGTATAGGTGACATTAATTGGGCTGTACTAATTGTATGATAGCAATTCTGATATTTATGTGAAGAAAGAAAAGTGGACAAAAAGACAACTTGCCACCGGCAAGAACCGAACCTGCAAGCTTTGCATTATACATCCACTGAATTCACTACTTGATCTAAGACAATGATCATCCTCTCGTCCAGATTGTTTGGTATTTATGTGCATGAAACCTTTAACAAACAGACAGCTGACCTGTCGGTCAGCAGCCTGCTCGTCAAAGGTCATGGCGCCACATGACGCCAACTGGAAAAATGAAAAGTGCTCCACACCCGCCGTCACAGCTATGAGCATCGCTGGCCAACACTCGCTGACCAAATGCTTTGCGCCAAGCAAACATGACGGTACCCACTAAAGTGACAGCTCTTGGCACTGACTAGAGTGACCAAGAACTGGCTGAATGTCAAAAGCGTTGCAAACCCCATTCGTGAACTCTTAGCTCTTGCTTGCCCAAAAAGCAAGCACACACACGAGACTTTGGGCCTCAAACACCCCTTATTGTATCAAAGCTACACAGGCAAACCAAAGTAGGGTACAGTAGCCAAAGAAGAGTTTTTGCGAAACGGAGCCGACACTCACCTCAGCGTTCCATATGCGATTTGCATGTTCATACATCACCCTGACATATTTGTCAAGATGGTGAGCATCTCGCTCGAAGAGATGGACCATGGACCTCGTCTGCACAAGCCAACAGTGAAATGTCATGCAGAATTGACAACACATGGGCTGGCATGCAAAAAAATGAACAAACCTTGAAAGCATAGATTCTCTACTAAAGGAACTTGTGCTACGTGAACCAACGCCAGAAAAACGCTGTGGCAGTGAAAACAACTAACACTGTGAATGTTAAACAAAATGAAAAAAGAGTTACGAGGTTCATGTTAAGGCTCTGTCACAGTCCCATTTTGTAGTATCATCATCATGCACACATCCAATGGTCACCGCAAAACAAAGGCCTTCCATGTCAAGCTCAGTATTACAGCTGTCTCGCTTCAGCTAATTCAACACTATGCCTGAAAATTTTCTAATCATCTATTTTTCTAGTTGTCTCATTATCACATGTCACATCATACTGCAGTTTTGGAAAGACAGAGCATTTTTCATTTGCTTTTCTTTTTATGTTTCTTCTTTACCCTGCAATGAGTAACACCCTGAGCAGCCAAGATTGAGGTTCTTGAAAAACCTGAGGCCCTGCGGCATCTGACGTGAAATACTGCATGAAGGCAGCTAAGCAAAGGGCAAAAGTATAATTTATGCATGCCTAGCATTCAAGTGAAGTTCATATTCAGGTTTAAGCATTCAATAAAAGGCTAAAGCCCACATATGGACAGGGGCAACAGAAGTATACAAAGGAGATAGCACTGAACCACAAGGGACATTTTATTTTCTGGTGGTGCATCCTTATTTGGTCACAACAAGCCCATGAAAGCAATCTTAGGACAAGCACACACAAAAATAAAGATAAAAATTACCAACACTCATCACTAGTGCTTTGAGTCGGGCTGTTTGGTACTCATCATTATTTTACACAATGCCTGTGGCTTATTGATGTCAAAAAGTCCATTTCCTTTTTGGAGCAAGTCCCAGAAAGAGCACTCACATTATTTTGTTTGTAATGATACATTTCATACGTTCTATCACTGTACGTGTGAGCTTATAGTTTTTTTTCCTGATTACCGAGCACTGCCCAAAAAGTGGTTCACAGACACACTGCAGTGCATTGATCAATAAGTGGCCTGATACGACTATCTTCACAACTAAATTCTTGAGCTCACTGAGACTGTCGTTCAGACTCCTACTGGATTGTTCATTGTAACTTTTCCTGCAGGTCACGGGCCACGAGTAGCCTATACCTTCTACCCAGTTAACAAACTGCTCCCTGTATTTTTTGGCGCATCCTTCTTCACATCAGTGTGAACAAGCAAACATTGTTTTACCAGTTTGTTAGAAGTGGAAAAGACTACATCCGCACCAGCGCGCATTCCTATCTTTTTTCAGATTCTGCCTGACCTTATGCCTGCATGGCAGTACAACAATCTTTTCCTTCCTTTTCATTATCAGCTAGCCCTGCCGGTCACCACGCTTCATCTCTTCTAGCCGGACACGAGCCACCGAGCCAAGCACATGACGCTGGTACCCGGCTGAAACCAGACGAGAGGTCTGAGCAAGATGTGCAAACAAAACTTCCGCAGAGAATGTCTCATACAAGACAAGATAATGCTCCTTTTAACAAGCTTAGTGTGATTGAAGGAGCACGGGAGCAATGGTTTGCTGGCTCTTGGCTCATACAACCAGAGAATATGTCCAACTATGAAATGTAACCTCACGTCAAGAAACTTAAGAGAAGTTTGCACCAGTAGGTCACGTGTGATAGCTCAATCAAGCTTAATGAAAGCTCAATCGAAAAGCTGATTTCACGCATTTTAACAAATTAGTCAGCTTCAAATTCATTTTTAACATTAGCTCCATCGCCCCACATTTAGTGGTCCTACCTAGTTCACTGAGCAAAACAAAGATTTATTTTAATTGTTTAATTAATGTTAAGGTCCTGACACTGAGTGGAATAATTATGTCCATAGATAACTTGATCAAGCAAACCTTATTAAATGGCTCATAATTTCTCCTTTAAAGGACTGTGGCCAAGATTATTGAGCATGTATGTGCTGAGCAGCACAACACTCGGCACAAACAGAGGTTGAACAAAACAATGCACACTGTTCTATATGAAATGCATTCAAACGTTGAAAGTATTCATCCTGCCAAACCAACAAGATCATGCACTTCGACTGTGAAGCTTAAAGAAGCTTAGATTAGGCAGTGTCTTGTTGTGTAACATGTTTGTTATTAACCTGACAGATACAATTCTGCACATTTAACATTAGCTTTATTTTTGATACAGATTAATTATTTGTGTTATTTCTCAAATTACCAAACAAAATTATTTTTGCCCACTGGGAACATCACAACAAACTTTTTTTGCCCTGAGCATAATTTTAGATAGCTGACAGCCTTGCATTGTATAATATAGTGAATTACTCTGTATTCTGCTAGACCTGAAGTATTATTGCACCATCAACTTCTTTACTATATTCATATTTTTGAATACTTACATCCAACTATTGCTACGTGCCAGTATATTGGGCCTCCTATTGCGATAATTTCTGTTTCACTTATGACTATGACAAGGCTGCCACACAGTATAAAATTGCTTGTACATCGAATAGAACTTCCTTTTTTTTTTTTTTAAGCCGGCCAAAGCGAATGTGTGTTCAGGACCAGAGCATGTGTGGCCAACTCAGTTGCTCGACGCTGAACATCTGCAGTGAATCGGAAGCTGTCATTTTTAGCAAAACAAAAGGGCTTCCTGCTAACGTGGCTGTCGTTGAAAAAAATATTGTTGTGTACATTGCTGTGCGTATAACGCATATCATTTATGGCTGAAGGGTTGAAACTTCACGATAGATATGCACATGGCCTCAGTCGCTCGGCATAAAAACTGTCTGCAGTTGGTTAGTCTGCACTGGCCTGTTAGCCGGCGCTCGTGACGTGAGGTCGTTTTATTGTCTGCATCTATATTTTTTAGCTGCGGTTTTGGCATTAAGTTTTCATTCACGTTACCGGAAAAAAATATCGCAAAATCAATGAAAGCCAGCAGATTTGTCAATGAACAGTGATTGTCAGACACCGCCTATAATACATTTTATAATGCGAATCTCTAGCCTTTGAACCATGAGAAACTCGTGAGCCAACAAATAGTGGATGTACATAATATTACTATGAAGGAGCCGTTTCAGAGGTCATCCCTAGAATATAGCCTTAAAATGTAAATATCATCTGGTAGTTAATGATGCACCCTGGTTTATTATTATGCACTGGCGCTCTGTTCTTGTCCAAGCGTCAATTAGGATAACGTTTTGTACATGTTTTCTGAACAAGCTAACTTATAGCGACATAGTGACTGGAACAGATAGAGAGCCGAACTGAATGGTTGCACAGTGCAAACATTAGCGCATTACTGATTTCCTATTCACACAGAAAACGTTGTGAACTGCTAGTTACCTGAACAAACAACTTTCACACTGTGCAACCGCCGGTAAGGGCTACGAATTAATAGCAATGTTCTCAAAGGTAGTCGTAGTTTACGTAGAGAACGCGGCATTTCCTGCCGTGACCCAATCGACGAAATATCGCACTAACTAGCGGGGAAGACACAAACAACATTTTTCCACAATCCTCGAGCAGCACTATCACTTTACATTTCTTCGACAGATAAAAATATTGTCAGAGCTACAGTTGATGCGCCGCCGAAACCAATCGCGTCGTCCTACTCCGCACCAGAGCGAAGGACACGATACGCAAGTAAAGGGGAGTGGGCCGATGTTACGAACCTGAATTCTTAGCGCGCGAGGCAGCAACGAAAGTAAACAGGGTGACCGAGTTAGTCTGAGCTCCCAAAACGCGCGGTAATTAAAATAATCAAACACAAATGGCGAGTATAAACACATGGACGATGCTACAGCATCGCGGGCACGCCCACAGGATACCACCGATTTATCGCGACGGCGCCGAAACATCGTTCATCAAACACCGACCTGTGGATTATCCTCCAGTGCATCTTCCAGGTGAAGAGCTTCAGGTCCCTGCATCCTGCGGTCGAAAGGATAGCGGCAGCGAGGTGGACACTGATCTTTCTCACAGAAACACCGCAATGATGCCGGCCTCCCACGAACGTTGGCTCCAAACACACAAAACACCTGCTCGCTTTTGCGAAGAGCGTCTACCGTGCTCGGTGGCCACCCATTGGTGACAGAACGAATCCCCGTTCGCACTGGTGCTGATGTCGAAGCGGCGCACGGCTGCTAGTGACGGATGGCACAGAGCAGTTGCCTCGCTCCGGCCTTTTGCAGAGCGAAACTTGTTTACAGAATCACGCGTACAGAGATTCCACGGCTTCGCCTAATGACAAACAGCAGCGCTCCTCGCAAAGCGGCCACTAACGACAAATGGCTCTTCGACTGGATTGGATTGGGCGAAAACAAATTGACTTTCGGTTTCGCCAGGCTTCAGTTTCGCTTTCAAAGGCTAACTGTGGTAGCAAGAAGTGTGGCAGCTTGGGCTAGTTGGTATGGCATGACGATAGTTATAGCGCGAGAACAAAACGACGACACAGAGACAAGAAGGACACGAAAGACACGTGTCTTTCGTGTCCTTGTTTTGTGTCGTCGTTTTGTTCTCGCGCTATAACTATCGTCATGTGGTAGCAACTTGCGTGCGTAGACGTAACACGTTCACTTGCGTAATGATCGAGTACAAGGCCTCCGTTTGCGTTACTTGGTCATCAGCGAAGGCACCTGATATAACGCTCTTTTTTAAGCATTGGCTACACACATAAAACCGTTAAATGTGTGGTTAAAGTATGTTCATCAGCAGCCTGTTTTTTTTTTTTATGTAATTGTCGGAGCCCTAGGCTTTCCACCTTTCATGAAAGTATCCTGCAGGATGAAGACCTCGCCCAGTGATAGGCACTTCACCCGATAATACGCGGGTTATTACTGTTTTAGTAGCGGGGCTCACTCGGGGGATTCAGCGCTGAACGGTTGTGTCGTCCGCGACATCCTGGCGCCAGCGTAGCTCTCACCAATCGGCCCGCCGTCCACGAACTCCTGGTGCCGTGTAGCTCTCGCCGATCAGTGCCCCATACTTGGACTCCTTCGACCATGTCCCTCATCTTTCCTATTCACTCTCTCTTAACTCTTACTGTCGCTTCGGTGCGGCGAGTGCTCTTATTCTTTATAATTCTACTATTTTTTTCTATCCCCTGCCTCCCCCCCCCCCCCCTTACTAGGAGCTTAGCCATGTCGCCAGGTTAGACAGACAAAACTTAGCCTCGTTTTCCTTTCCTTCAAGAATCGCCGCTTCTACTAGTAGCGTGGTCACAAAGAGAAAGCTATCGCCATCATGCATGAACCAGCACCTAACTCTTTGCTTCACCTCCTGCTTCGCACACTGAGTGTGCACGCGTGTGCTGCCTAATGTGCTGTGTTTATCTCTCTTCCATCTCTCCTCTCTATCTTTCATCTCTCCCATCACCCTCCAATGCGCAGGGTAGCAAACCGGCTGTCTATATGCTGGTTAACCTCCCTGCCGTTCTTTTCCTCCTATTTTCCTTACTTTTCCTTCCTGCTTCGCTCTACGAACATGCGCACCGATTTCTTCTGCTAGGGTTGCAATAACTCGGATGGGCGACACATCTTACCAAGTCAGCATGGTTTCAAGCGTGGCCTTTCATGCGAAACTCAACTATTCGAACTAATTACCGATATTCACGAAGCGATACATAATAAAACAGACGTCGATGCTCTCTTTATAGATTTCGCCAAAGCCTTCGACAAGGTCCCCCATAACCGCCTAAATATGAAACTAAGCGCCCTCAACATCAACCCTAATATCTGTAAGTGGGTTGCTAATTTCCTGTCCGATCGCTATCAGTCTGTTTTTGTTAATAATACCTTGTCTCCATTAGTAAAGGTAAAATCAGGTGTTCCGCAAGGTACCGTGCTAGGGCCAATCTTTTTCCTAATTTACGTTAATGATATAAGTAACCAATTGTCATCCCCAATCAGACTTTTTGCAGACGATTGTGTAATTTGCAGACAAATTACTATTCATATTGATACGAGTGCGCTGCAGTTTGACATTAACCAAATCACCCGATGGTGCTGCCAATGGCAAATGGAAATTAATGTTTCAAAAACAAAGTATATTTAATTTACAAAAACTACGAAACCTCAGCTGCATTCTTACATGATAAACAAGAGGCTAGTGGAAAATGTGAACACAATAAAATACTTAGGAGTACATCTTGCACACAACCTCTCATGGAATGCTCATGTTGAGGCAATAGCCAGTAAGGCTTTAAGAGCTCTAGGATTTATTAAACGAAATTTGCACTCTGCTAACCAATCCACCAAACTTCTCGCATACACAACCTTAGTTCGCTCGAAAATAGAATACGCCGCCCTTATTTGGAATCCAAACCAGCAATACCTTATTCATAAACTTGAGGCCATTCAAAACAAAGCAGCCCGCTTTATCACAGAAAAATATTCTCGGCTATATAGCATAGCAGCTATTAAAACGTCCTTGAAATTACCAACTCTCGAAATACGTAGGCTTATCGCACTGCTTTCTCATTTCCGCAAGCTCTATTTCAGTGAGTCATCTTTCTTACATTCACAGATTAAACCAGCTCATCGCATTTTTCCACGTGTGGATCATGCTTACAAAATACAGCCCAAGTTTGCCCGTACTAACTTCCTTCGTGACTCACCATTGTTTCTTGCGATTTATCATTGGAATAGACTACCAAGTGATGTTGTAACTGAGCATGATCACAACACGTTTGTCCGCAGATTAATGGAGATGCGGAATGTAGAACCATAACATTAAGTGGCTTTCTTTCGTTTGGTCTAGTGCAAATATTACATCAGTTATCGCACACATCGTATCATGCCATACTGAGTGCTACATTACTATGTCTTCTTTGGTGCGAAATTTGTTTCTGCATTTAGCTTTTTATTTTTTTCGTGTTCTGTGTAAATATTTTTGTTTTGCACATAACCCTGCTGTATTGTAACTACCCCCCCCCCCCCCCATATAATGCCCAAATGGGCCTTTAGGGTATATGAATAAATAAATAATAAATAAATATGCGTACAGAGATATGGAAAGCAAGAGATTGGTGGAGCGAAAAAAAGAAATATTAAGAGAGAAAAATTCCAAAAGAAAAACGTTTCTTGGCGAGGTGCCATTCGAACCCGTTTACCTGCGATCCGAAGGCTATCGTCGCAACCATTCGGCTATACAGCTCACACTAGCGGAGCGTAATAAAGCCCGGTATGTCATAGCAAGGTGTGGTAAAAGAAATTCAGGGTTAGAAGGCCAGTTTAGAGGGGTACGAAGAGTAAAGGAGGAGGGGAGACAGTAAAGCATAGCAGAGGGAAATATAAGAAAAGGAGGAATAAGTGATCGATGCAGAAAGAGAGAGTGACAAGGAGAAATGGAAGAAAAAGAAAGAAACAAAGACATGAAGACCCAGAAAGAGAAATAAATAGAAAAATAGAAAGACAGAGAAAGGTATACAAGAAATAAACTTAATTAGCCATAAAAATGAACGACATATGCACGAGAGACGAAGAAGAAAAAAAGAGAAAAGAAATAAATAAAATTTCACCGGCGATTTAGATACTGCCTAGTGCCAATTCTAACCACAGCTTCGTCTTGGGGCAGGGCCACTGTGTTTGAAATCACAGCTATCAGCGGTTAGCAATATGTATCATTCGTTACATACTGCCACAGAAACTGTCATCACTCGAGTGCTACGCACCACACGCACTGCAGGCATCGCGGACCAAGTGAAAAGTGGACAAGCGAAGCCCCTGGCAGTGCACGTTCCAGCCATGCATGCGCCCGAGCTCCGACCGAAGGGCCATGGCGAGGCCAGCGGTAAGACTTTTCCCCATTTAATAAGGAACCCGGCGCACGGGTATGCTTCCAGTGCTAGCGACGTTAATTTTTTATGCCCACAAATTTTATTTGGTCATCTTCACAGAAAAAACAGGAGGGCACTTTCACAATCCTCTTCTTGGAAAACGGACTTGGGAAAGTGTCTTGCTGGGTGATTTATGCAGAAAACACGGACGCAGAAAAGGAGCACAGAAGTTGATCAACTGTAATTGTTACGAGGGAATCGCTGTGTCGCTCAGGCTGAGTTATAAGAGCATTAAGCCGCAAGGCGTCTTTGAAAGGGACCGTAGCAGTTAGATTAAGATGCATTTTTGAGTCAACAGATTCGATGGAGCTTGTGACGCGAGTTTTATTTTTCTTTCTTTTTTACGGAGCGCAAACTTGGAGACTTACAAAGATGGTTCAGCTGAAATTGAGGGCGACGCAGCGAGCAAAGGAAAGAAAAATGGTAAGTGTAACCTTAAGAGACAAAAAGAGAGCAGAGTGGATTAGGGAACAGACAGGGGTTAAGGATATCTTAGTCGAAATTACGAAGAAGAAATGGACATGGGCCGGACGTGTAGCACGTAGATAGGATAACCGCTGGTCATTAAGGGTAACTAACTGGATTCCCAGAGAAGGCAAGTGGGTTAGGGGGAGACAGAAGGTTATGTGGGCAGATGAGATTAGGAAGCTTGCGGGTATAAATTGGCAGCAGCAAGCACAGGATCGAGTTAATTGGTGGAACATGGGAGAGGCCTTTGTCCTGTGATGATGATGACGGCGCGAGTGTTGCACCCTATCGTTTGATTGCCTCATTCATAGGCGTTTCCCCGGAGGGGAGGGGGGGGGGGCAAGAAAGGCAGGGAGGCACCCCCCTGAAAATAGTAAGGGGGGCTGACCCTGCTCCCAAGTTTCGGCAGTGGTCACTGTCGGCTTCCCACTGAAAAACGAACTGAAAGAAAATTTTTATTGAGTGCAGCAGTCACGTGATTATATATAATGAGATTTCGTAACGTATTTTTCCTAGTTTTCTGCTGAGAAAGCTATTTTTCGTGTCTAGCGACCATGAAGTATGTTTTCTGCATTTTGGGCCGCTTAATTATGCAGCGCTTCGGTTCCTACTCAGACATTGTAGAGGAAGCTACCACTCAGCAGGGGCACTAGAACCTTAAGACCACTCTGTCATGTTTTTCTTTGGATTTGCTTGACATAAAATTTACATCACAGGTGACGTAGGTCCAGGCAGGAACCAAATAGGAAACGCTTTATGAATCAATCACGTGCTGTTACCGTCCTAAAAGATCATTATTTTTGTTAGAAAATGAATTGAATTGCGGCTGAAGTCAACGAAGGCGTAGAAGTGTTTTCGAAAGGACCCGAGTAGGGGGAGCTATAGAAATGAATTGCACTTCAGTTTCCAATTCACCAGCGTCGCCCAACTTATATACTATGGTATGTTTAAACAATCATGGTGGCTT